TCATTTCTAGATCACACTTCCATTATGTGTACAAAAAAGCCCCATAACCTCCATCTAGAAAAACGCGTCGCGTCGGAAACTTTTTGGAAACTATCAATGGATAGAACGTAAAACGATGTTCTCAAATAAATCTTCAATATCTGCGACTCGTTCTTCTCGATGGAGGTTATGGGCTTTTTTCTATATACAGGGTGTCCCAAAAAATGTTAACACTGATTGATCGTTAATAACTCCCTTGCTTTCAAGTCGTCCGCCGAGCCTTATGTACCACTAGCTGGCTTACCCGGCTCCGCCGTATGTTCCGAATAGAAAATTCCATTTCTTAACCGATCCGGACCAAACTTGCACACATACCCTTCAGGCCCCGGCGGGTGTCACAGTCCACTTTTCGTTATCGATCGATGTCGATTTTACCGATTTTTTGCAAAATTTGAGCTAGGGGGCTGGAATTTGGCAGAGGGGTATAATCGAGCATGCTGATTACGTCGATTACACCCCTCTGCCAAATTTCAGCCCCGTAGCTCAAACTTTGCAAAAAATCGATAAAATCGATAAAATCGATATCGATCGACGACGAAAAGTAGCCTATGACACCCGCCGGGGCCCGTAGTATATGTGTGTCAAGTTTGGTCCCGATCGGTTCAGAAATGGAATTTTCTATTCGGAACATACGTACAGACAGACATACAGACAGACATACAGACATACAGACAGACATACAAACAGACATTCAGCTTTATATATAAGATTTTGTAGAGCGAGGGTAAACTTAGATTTACAGTATCGAGCGAATCATCTAACGCTCCTCGTTACTGTAGAATTATGGTAGGGAATTCCAGCATGTGGAACCGTCGTGAAATATGCCCTCTGGCAAAACTTTTTTCAAAAAAGCTGAAAAATCGTGTACTAAAGTTTTCGCGCACGCTGATTTTACTACACAACTTTTTACGAGTGTTTTCAGCTTTTTTGACGGTGTAATCACATTTTTGACACATGCTGGGAAGTCAGTTATCAACTGTTGATGATTTCTGTATCATCAACCACTGATGAACTCTGTATTCTAGATAGCCTACTGAATACCCGTAGGCTAAATTGTGAGCTACTCACTCTTGAGTATCTAATCACTCAAGAGTGAGTGGTACCCGTGCGCCAGGAGTGTAGCCAATCGGCGGCATCTCCTTTCAAGCACCAACTCGTGTACATTGTACCCTGTACTCGGTTCAGCTCCGCCTTCCTTCGTATATAAGGAGCCACCGAATGTATTAGAGGTTGCTCCCAGGTCCACACCGGGGCACCTCAGAACTTCTCGAATAATCTACGCCCGTGCGAATAAACCTATTCCACAACTCGTCTACCCCCTAATCACTTGGTACCCACCAAATTGGTGCATCGGCCAGTGATTTTTCTTGTAATTCCTCGGCGATTCCTTCTAAGGACTCAGGAAATCAAGGCCTAAGACCCGCGTGGCAGGCTCTATAGCCAATTATTCGACTCTCGTGATTGCTGGTTCATCCACTTTTGCGACCAAGAGTCTTATTAAGCTGTCAGGTCCTATCCACAGCTTAGTAGAGATTTCTAGCTAACTGACTGGTTTCCACAGTTAGCGACAGACTTCTCGCACTCTAGGCTACTAATTAGTCAATACTCGACTCTAGTAATTGCTGGTTCATCCACTTTTGCTGATACGCGTCTTGCTAAGCTATCAGTTCCTATCCATAGCTTAGCAGAGGTTTTTCTAGCTGACTGACTGGTCCATCCACAGTTAGCAACAGAAATCCTCGAACTTTTTTGGCTTCGTTTAGCCAAAAACTCTGTGATTGCTGGTCCATCCACTTTCACAACAAGAGTCATCTTGCGAAGCTATCAGGTCATATCCATAGCTTAGCAAAGAGGTTTTTTCTAGCTGACTGACTGGTCCATCCACAGTTAGCAACAGAAATCCTCGAACTTTTTTGGCTTCCATTAGCCAAAAAACACTCTGTGATTGCTGGTTCATCCACTTTCACAAACAAGTTTCATCTTGCGAAGCTATCAGGTCATATCCATAGCTTAGCAAGGAGATTTTCTAGCTGACTGACTGGTCCATCCACAGTTAGCAAAGAAATCTCAACTTTCCAAGCTCATTCACGGTTGGTTCACCGATCTTGAGCTTTGGATCGTTACATTCACGGGACAGGTTCCAACACCTTGCCGTTCAGTACAGCGCACAAGCCAACCAGGCGCGCTTGCTGACAGCTAGTAGACGCTCGGCACTCCATTGCCAGCTCACTAGAAAGCTTCCTTGCAACCAGTAAGGACAGCTATCGTATCGAGGCCAGCCCTGCTGTCGCCCTCAAGCCAAAGCGACCAACAAAAGGAGTATACACACGTCCGAACTGGAACGCTTGGAATCACTACACCAGTGCACGACCCTACCCCGTGCAGCAAAACAGAAAATGGCAGCGCTCCAGATTTTCAAGTCAAAAATCAACAATGCCTGCGCACTCGTGAAGTCATACGAGTCGGAAGTGAACGAAATCAACACACCATTCACTTTTCCGGTAGAAAGGACTGAGTGCGAGATGCACATCGAAACCAAAATGGGAGAGATAACGCATCTGCTCAACTCTCTGCAAAATGCGGTTAAACTTCAAGACACACAAGTCAACGCCGCGATCGAACATTGGAGCACGAAATGAAGAAAAAGAGAGAGACAAGCTTATGACAGAACTCAGCAAACACTTGGAGTTGGAATCTCTTCATTTGGAAGTCATGGTCGTGCAGTGGCAGAACAAAGTTCAGTTCCGTCAAAACGAATTGAAGGATCAAGCTGCATTAATGCACACCAGTCTGCCAAGCACATCAAGTCATGCAGCCAGCGACGAAGGCCAGACCTGGAACGGCAGCCTCCCAGAGCGCAACGAAAGGCAAATAAAAATCCGGAAGCCTCTGCTCAAAATCCCTACCTTCTCAGGGAACTTCAGAGAGTTCAACAGCTTCTGGACAGTGTTTGAATCTCTCATCCACACCGACGAAGACCTATCCGACACTGACAAGTTCCCCTTTCTGAAGCAAGCACTGAAGGGGAAAGCAGCAGCCACTTTGAGCTGCATACCCGTCATCGGAGACAGATATCAGACAGCGATAGATATCTTGAAGAAACATTTCGATCGCTCTGCCAACATGGCAGATATACTTATAAATGAGATCGAAAAACTACCCAGGGCCTCAGATGATCCGAGAAGTGCCGAGACACGTTCGAAGCTATCAACTCAAGGATCATTCACCTGGAGCAAACGGGAGCAAAGATGAACGCAGACAGACTTTGGCGTCGAATAATCTTTTCCAAATTTCCCGAATCCATCTGTACGACCGCCATCCAGAAAGACAACTTTACCTAGGATAACTTTGAAAAGAAGTAGTATCATAATGAAGTGAAAATTTCATATCCGAAATCAGCGGCTTTCATTACCATAGTACAAGAGATTTTGGCTTGTTTGGCTCTGTTTCGAAGCAGAAAATGGGCTTTAATGGCCTAAAATCCTTGTCAAATTTCCTATCGTAATTCTACAGTAGCGAGGAGACTCGGATGATTCGCTCGATACTGTAAATCTAAGTTTATCCTCGCTCTACAAAATGGTACCTAAAGCTCGGCGAAAGACTTAAAAGCAAGGGAGTTATTAACGATCAAACAGTTAACATTTTTTTGAAAAACCCTGTATAATGGAAGTGTGATCTAGAAAGGAAATGGCGAACTGTCGATAAACAAAATGGTCGGAAAACACTCGAAAACGTTCCGATGAACTCGAATTAGACCTACAATGCTTACCAAGTGGTTTGCTTAAGCTTGCACACTTTTGTGTAGCGATTATCATGATTCTGCGACTCAAAATGCACGAAAATTTGGCTTTAAAAAGGCTCGTAATTTTTTTGAGAACAATGCGTCGCAGATATATAAGGTATAACTGAGATCAGCTTTTAAGCTCTATCCATTGGTATAGATCTCCTTCCGAATCGCCACTTTGACTAAGTGAACTTCCCTTGTTAGAGAGCGCGAGAAGGAGACTATCATGAGGTCCTACCACGACCGCAACGCCAGCAACCTCGACAACCCTAGCAACTTCGCGTCCGCAACCTCGGCAACCGTTGCCGGCAACCTATGCCCGTTCCGTATCGAATGAGTCATTCTTGAAATTTAGTCTCTTACTTTTCGCTCCGTACCGTCTACGTTACATCATTCTTTGGGCAAGACTGAGCGAAACTCGAAGTCCAGAGATGGAGCGAACGAGTGTTTCGAGTAAAGTTCAGCATGCACCAGCTATGGGTGCAGTCTTTAGCGAAGGTGCGTCGTAGCTTTCCCACATGTGTTTAGCGCTTCATGGTTTGTTGAGAAGCGTGTGCAAGTTTTTAAGTTCAAAGTGAACGATACGAGTGTCATCGGCTCCCAAATTCGTGTGGCGGGTTCGGACTTCCCCTGATTACAGGGATAGACTTGTTGAACCTCCAAGTTATGGCATTCTTTTTCGTAGTCTCTCACCAACCTGTCCTCATAATCAGGGAAAGACCGCAACCCACCTGCACACAAATCTGAGAGCTGATCACTTGACCTTGTCTTTTTTTTAGTAGCGGACGAGTCGGGTTTGAACTGAAGCGAAGATATAGAATCTTGTTGCACGGTGCCCGCGAACCTTGGCAAATCACAGGGACCAGCCATACTATTCCAGGAGGTGATTCCTGTAATTCCTGCAAATCTTGTGATTTCTCGACTTCTGATGTGTCGCACTACGGAGCCCTTTGCGAGTTTCAGTACACATTGCTTTTTCGCAATATATCTACATTGTTACGGAACCCACGGAATCACAAGAATCGCAGGAATTGCAGGAATCGCAGAAATAGTATGGCCGGTCCTGCACACTGTTTGTGCTGAAGCTGCGTTAACGCGCTGCATTCACAATTTTCTGCGCAAATAAGCAAAAAGACGGGCGGTTTGAAGTGGAGTGCTGCAAATAGTTTTGTATTCCATTATTATTAGTAAGAGAGGCGTTCATGTGTATCCTTTCTTTTTCTTTTGACCGACATCAGTTAATTTCTTGTTTGGGTACAATTTGTGTCGCTTTTTCTTCTGTTGAGGCGCTTATTTCGCACTTCTAAGTTAGCCAGTTTTGGAGGTAACAATGGCCACCCGCAAGATGAACTTCTTTGAAAAAATGGCCAACATGCTTGGCTGCATCTACCGACATCAAGCTGCCCAGTTCCCTCGAAGGTGGGCTATTCTAAAGGTAAGGGCAAGGTTTTGAACATTTCATCGTACGCATAGAACTTCAGTCTATCTGTACAATACTGAACATTCTAGGCTGTTGGCAAACATGAACTTGCTCCACCAAAGGCAACTGACTGGCCAGTCATTAAGGCAGATTGGAAAAAAGTGACGCAGTTCATCTCAAAAGGACAGTATAAAGAGCTTACTGTTAGGGTGAGCCGATTACTATGTTTCTATGTTTCCTTGACATTTTGCAGAGTCGTCTTTAACTCCGAATACTTATTTCCTTTTTGTACATTATGTGCCATTTTTTGTGATTGCTTTCTTAGAGGGAGTCTGAAGGCATAGTTCACTCTAGGTTAGGGTTGGCGAATTTTGACGCTGCTTAAAGGCACCGTCCATCCCAAGTTAGAAATCTTGAGCCTTTGCCCGTATCAAGCCAGTGTCCAGGTTGCGGCGCAATATTGCTTTCAAAGCGAGGAAATTGCTTCTCAACAACGAAGAGGCACATGCCCTCAGGCGGCAGCGCCCATCCAGTAATGCCCGCCAATCCGTGCGCGCTTTTCTAATCACCGTTCGAAGAGCCCTACCCGAGAGTTCCGTGGAACGGGGATTGTCGAGGATTTCGCGGATTCTCGATCATATTTGGAATCAGAAACTTGAGCAGGCCTCGGGACGACAAAAACATGGAAGTCGAGAATCTGGATGAACGGTGCCTTTTGAGCCCCGCTGAAACAGTAGAAGTTTGAGACCGAATATCACTTCAGAATTAGATACTGCAGAGGCAGCCCCGCCCATTAAAGTAGGTGGTTTGAGGGTACAGTCTCAATTCGAACTGCAGGGTACCTGGAATCGCCGGAAACCTTATCCTCATAACGGCAGGAGATTTTCGATCTTCCCTACTCTGCAATTTATTTCAGGCTCAGTGCCTTAAAATCACTTACATGTATAGCGGGGCTGCCTCCGCCAATTCTACCTTTTGAGGCGACCTTTCGAATCTTTCATTTTGGAGCGGGTTTTGGGAAGATTTAGGGTTTTCACTGTCATACCCCAACAAAACCTTACCAACTTAAAATTTAGGTGAGTATTGACCTCAAGCAGCAAAATTTGTTTTTATCACGCAGCATATCACCCTCGCTATATATAGGCGATTCATTGCACGCAAAGACTGCGGACGTATCGGCGTCTCCCTGATCAAGCGCTTTTTTCGTTTCTCTTACCATCTGCTATCTCTTCCATGCACAAACTATCTTGGCCGGACGCAATGGCGCCCAGTCTTTGCGTGTCATGAATCGTTTCATCGTGCAGCGTACTGTTTCAGTCATGTAATTCGTCGTCATAGATCATTCATATTTCAATTATATGATATCCATATTCTGGAATACTAGGAAATGAATGTGTAATATTAATATCATTATGGGGCATAAGATGTTGTTTACTATGCTCTTTCTTTTGTTGTATGGTTCCCTATAAGGAGTTAGAAGTGGTTTTGAAGCGATCCAAACGCGCGGGTTAATGCTGCCACCCTATGCAGTGAACGCTTTCTGATCATTATGCGTGTACTAACTCTTTCATTTTGGGAGCTACAAAAGTTCCACGTTCTATCCCAGTTATGTATTCGGTTTCCCGTTTCCGAAAACTTCAGCTTCTGTTAGTATGCACAAAAGGCAGAAGTACCATGGGTTTGGTATCCCACACGAAGCTGTAATAGAACTCAAAAAGTTAGTTTCAGTAAAAGTAGGTAGTAACTTTCTTTGTCAGGGATCGTACCTCCGATAAGAAACTCGAGAAAAGATGTATCGCATCTGTCTTAGTTACTTTGACAAATTGTAGCATTTTCTGTGTTGATTTGACTTTTGAATTCCTTGCATGGCACTCAACATCATATTTAGGAAGGACTTGTATACATGGCTGTTGCAATGGAAATTATGTTCTGGTTCTTTGTAGGAGAAATGATAGGACGTCGGTACATCTGTGGTTATTTGGTTGGTTTTTGAATTTGTTCTCTATCGTTACAAAGAGGAGATTTTGACTCTTACTGGTTCATTTCAGGTACCTGCTGATTATGTCTCACGCGATACGCGCAGAAAGGTCAAAGCTTTGGAGGCAGAGGCCAAGGCATTACACTGATCTTGCGACTAGTTTAGAGTTAAATTGTATAGTTTGCTGGCAGTTTCGATAAATCTGAACTCAGTTCGAGGCTCTGTGCATTAAGTGTGGTGATTGCATGTTTTTTTTTATTAATGTTAATGCATTACATATCGATATGAACGACGCATCTCTTGTTGTGCTTTCTGTATTTGAGATTTTCGACTACAATTTGTCTTTTAGTGCTTATCTTGTCAGTGTGCATCTCATTCAGCGACAGCATCTTCCAAAGTATTGAACTCGAAATGTCGTAGTTGTACTAAAGTGCGGTTCATAATTATACGAACACCCAAGATTTTGCAAGTTTTCGGACTTTTGGGAGAAACTCTGTGAAGTTACAGTAACAAAGTCTGACATATCTGCTACACACTGAACCCAATGCAGTTCAAAAAGAGGACCATTACTTTTTTCCGAAGGCTCTAAATGCTTTTGGAGTGATTGCGCTCCAAAAACATCCGTTCTTCTGTGGTTTACGCGCTCTAATTAGCCTCTACCAAAGCTATGAGATGAAGTAAGCTCTTTCGATAGGTATTTTGTTTGACGCTTGGGAAATCTTTGCGTTTTCGTGTCTTTGTCTTCAACCAACTTCCAATCTTGCCACAGAGTTAGCACGATTTCGAGCCTCAAAACTCAGCTTCTTTCTTGCGCAAACATTCGATAATGAAGCAGCTGCATTGTTTGCATGATGATGTTTCTGTGCCAAAGTTTTTGGGTTTTTTGTAGAGCTGATCTTGAGGCTGTGGAGCTACAAATCAAATAAAGGTGTGATTGCAATAGTAAAAACAGTGTTTTTGGTGAAATGACGTCCGCGTGGCCAAAACAAGTGCTCAACGCTGCTGATTCTTTCTAGCCAAATATACAGTCTTGTTTGCGGTGAAGACAATATTTGCTCGGCAAATGCTGTGGTTGTGAATGTCGACAACAACTCGAAACAAACGCAAAAATACTACAACGTCGAAGAATAGACTGGACTTTAGCGCACTGAGATTTTGCCAACATGAACATAAAGGCTCGATTTTAAATGGCAGGTTAATTTGTCCGTCCCTGAACTGTTGGTGAATTCAGGTGACACCTTTTCGAGAGATCAAAAGCGCTCAATAAAACCTGTGCAGTAGTCACTGGAAATGTTGGCGCAAAGTGTGACGCTTGTCTATTTAGCCTCTTTTGCACTTCTCATATTCGGAGTGTATATATCATTCAAACAAGTTCATTTTGTTTTTTCTTTTATTTTAGTGCTGTGAACCTACAATGAAACTTGTGACTACATACTTAACGTAGTCTTTTCCAGAATTTCTAGTTCATAGGACGAAAGGTCTGATTTTATCGGGCACTGTCCTCAACAAACAATTAACACGAATCCGTGACTGCAGAACGAAACATTAACGGGCGCAGCGAATTTACGGTGGTTTACTGTCTCATCAGAATCGCACGGTTGGCAGTTAAGAGTTGTTTCTTCTACATTATCTGTCCTTGCTCCTGTATATCTTGAGCTGCAGCCATATATAGCTTTTGTCGGTTTCTATGTGAATGCAGGACTTCTTTTCTCTTCAGCATACCGGGACGTTTGCCTATCATTTTCCCTTACTTGCATCTGAGCATTCACAGTTTCAAAGTATTACCTGTACTTCTTGATTGTACGCTGATTTTTCTATCTTTTCTCTTATCACGGTAGAATATGTTTTCGTAGTTTTTCATCTAATTTGATCCACTTTAGTGATGGAACCTCCCAGTTACGTGTATTCGGAAACAGATGCACGTCAAAGATCCGGCGGTGCGGGATTGGGCAAGTAGTCTACACCAAGAATTTTTGCGATAGTACCATTTTCTCTGTTTCAGGGACCTCAACATCAACTACAGCGCAGTCCGGTGGAGATTCACTTCCATTCAATTTCCAGTCACAGCTTGGAAACATGGTAAACTCGTTGAATTCATTCACGAGGTATGACAAAACAGTTTTTGCCTTTGAGATGTGGGAAGCAGGATCTAAGCAAGTGAAGGATACATTTTCATCATATGGAAAAATAGACATTTTTCGGCCATATTTCGACGTAGAACCCAGCCAGGTGCGATGTGCTACGTTTTCCCCTATAATCGCTTCAATAAGCCTTTTTACTTCATAATCATCGACACCTTATGTTGCCAATATAAGCTGGGCGAATCGCATTCTTCCAGGTGCGCATTCGACTTCTTCGATCGTTTGTGCCACGTCGGCCATCCAAAATCTCAACATCGATCGATCTCTATGGTCCTTCGATGGTGGTGCTTACAATGGTTGCATTACTTTTGTATAACATGAAGAGTAGCGGGTAAACGCAAATGGTTGTTCAAGTTCCGATTACTTACCTGGTTACAACTTTCAGATATGTTGTGCAAAATGGGACGCTCATGGGCACCTCCTTTTTTGCTTGCACTGGTTCTTGGCTGATGCTTTCTGGTGTACTTTATATTCTATGCTTCCTTCTTGCCGCTGAAATTTCGATGCTGGAGCTGGTCTCTGTTTTTGTAGGTGTAAATTGATAGAGTTTATTCAGTAATAACTCAGCGTTCCATTTTAAGGGCTACTCATTGACGTCGCAGTGCGTGGTATTGTTGCTTACTTCAATTTACCATACCTCACACGACCACCTCTTCTTTTTTATCTTAGTGGGACTTTGTTGCGTTCCAAGCGCTATTCGAATGGTTAGTAACTTAATCATTTGGAAAATGAGGATATTAAAAATTAGTTGGTTTCAGGGTCTCATCGTTGGCATGAGAGCTAGAATTCCATCGCATCGCATGATTCTCATTATTGCTCCTGTTGTTGTCCACATATTGCTGATCTTTTATCTACACTTTGGATTCCATGTGATGCTTGAAGGTGATTCAGTGTTTGAATTAACAGTCAGAACATTTTCCTGTCGGTGCGCGTGAACACAAAGGTGTGTCTGGTCGCTGACGGGCGTAAAAGAAAATTTGGAAGATTGCATAGAGATTTTAATCTGCTTAGTCTTGATTTGGTAGATCGCAGATTGACTTGGGCTTTTGATTATCTTCGTATCTTATTTCGTGCTCGTTCAGAGATCGATCAAATCATCGAAGGAAACGAGGGGAATGTGGCACAAGTCATCAAGGATAGCATGACAGCAGACACGTAGGTGAGACTCTGCTCGAAGCAGGTAGTATTCATGAAGGAAGAGCTGTTACTCGATGGATTTTGAATCTTTTTTTTAAACACGTGGTGGATTGGTGTATAACAGTGTTTTCAACTGTGATTTGATAATTTAATTAATGTATAATATAAAATTTTATTTGTCATGTCACCTAACATTGCCTATAAAACTGGTAACGATAAGAATAAAATCAACAACGAGGCTATAATTTTGTAAAAAGATCCAACAATAAGACTGTAAACCTATGAAAATCCTAACTACGTTGACTATATAACAATGGCGTGTGTAAGCCGATGCGAACGGGATCATTAGCGTGAGCAACGAGATCGTGAGAAGTGTGCCCTTCGTTTCAGGAGAGACTACTTCCCGTTAAGCCACTAATGGATGATGTTGCTATTTGCATCAGACGGCAGTTTCCTTTTTGAGCTTTGTTCCAAACATGACCTATAATAAATGTGCAGTATGCAACGTCATTGCAGTAGGATAAAGTTTTTGGGAGCGAATAGATAAGTGAAACCTCTTTATTCCTGGCAGCGCGCTGTTCCTTCTCAAGCCACTCCATCTTGTGCTCATGCTGCGCCACTGCATCCTTCGTGTTTCGATCAATCATTTCTGGCGTGAGAACACCATCTTCTGATGCGTAAGCCGATGCCTGTGATAAATGGTGTTTTCTTTTCTTGCATGATGAGGCTTCTGGTGAGCACATGGCGTTGTACATGGTCGCCAGTGCGCCGGTATGGAATGCTGCATGCTATAGCATGCGGCCGCAGCTTATGTATGCCCGCTTACGCTTTTCACTATGCTTTCCAACTTGTTTTTTTTTGCGGACAAAACGGGCACCTGCACAGGTTGCCGGAAAATATGGTAACATCTTGTGTATCCCTTCGCCGGCACATGGGCAACGGGCGCTAGAGCTTCATATATGACTTCATTACTACAATCTATGGCTAAATGATTCGCGCGGCACGTCCAAAGCTTGTCGCATACACTTGAAACGGCACCGCAGCACATGAAAATATTGATGCTCAAACATACAGTTCATCTCAAGAAAGCAGCCAAAAGAGATGGCGCTTGTCCGTCTCGAACGCTTGCGTTAGTCGTGACGGTTGATATGACCGAGCGGACTCATGCTATAATTTATGTCACCCACATGCTCATTTTTCCGTAGCAACTACGCATCCGTAGCGCGCGGGCATTGCGCAGCGATCTCCGATCGATGCGGCATATTTAGACGCTCGACCCGTACGCCTGCGAACGCGGCACAGGGCCCTGGCTTGCGCTTGAGCTGATTGGAAAGGAAGCACATCATTGACACAGACTGTAAATGTCTATTTGAATCCGGGTGTGGCGAATAAAATGCCAGAGCGACCGAAAGCAGAATGTTCATGGCGGGCCATGTGTTTGCAGACAAAAATATGTTGGAAAAAGAAGAAACATAACAGACCTGCCATCCTATCACAAGCTTGCTCAGTTCTCTTCCACTCATACCTTCTGTCATATCAGCGACCTTGGCGCACTTCTCCACCCAATCGAAGTCAGCCAACTTCAAACGCTGCCCTCGTGCACCTGAATACAAATCATACTCACAATCACAAGAGTTACACTTTTTGCCCCCAATGTTCCAATCATGCGCTACCACTTCTTAATTGGAAAACCACTAAGCTAATTGTAAGTTGAGCTTTGTAATAAGAATGAATCCAGGATGTCAAAGATTGAGGAGATCTCAGAGTTATCGACAACTAAATCTGGAATTTTGTAAAATTACAGAAAACATACCACTCGTAGCTGGTTTAGCAATATGTTCTTCGAAGTACTGCAGTAGTATACGCTCACGCTCTGGTCTACCGGGGAGATCGAATTCAACAAGTTGATCCAATCTGAAACAACTTGTTCTTTTCAGATAGCGGTGCCAATAGCAATTTCTCATGATCTACCTATCATTAACAGCCCAGTCGAATTGCTCGGGTTGATTGGAGGCCACAACAAGCATGAAACGTCTCGACTGTTCTCCAGTGCGGAAGAGAAAGGCGTTCAAAGCAGCACGAGTATCTTCAGACATGGCTTCCTGAGATCAGTAGAAAATGTCAAAAAAAAAATCGAGAATCGAGTGAAAGTCAATGATTTACAAAAACACAGCATGAGAACCATTTGACTACTCACCTTTGATCGCTTCTGAAGGAAGGCATCCGCCTCATCGATAAATACTATCAACCTGTAGATGAATTTCAAGAATAGAAATCATAAGGTACAACAGAAAAACCTACCCCTTGCGACTACTCTGCGCCCAATCAAAGACTTTATGAATGGCTGATACTCCCTCACGACCCATTGGTGCAATATCACCACCAGTCAATATGGCATAGTCCAAACCACTATGCTGAGCCAAACTTTTGGCGAAAAGTGTTTTACCCGTTCCTGGTGGGCCGTAGAACAGCACATTTCGGAATAAGCCCTAAGAATCTAATATTCAGATATTTGAACTACATTGCGAACCAATGCAATGAAATATACCTTATTCCTTCTAGTATTGGCTGTGGTGATGGCGATATCCCTTAGTTGCCTTTCCAGATTTGGCTGAAATAAGAAGAGACCTTGGCTGAGCAAAAGTCTATTAATACATTGACTTACCGACAATACAACCCCTTTGAGAGGATCATGTTTTGTCCTAAACACCATCTTCGCTGTTTTGATAGGATGTTTTAGGGACTCCAGAGGTGTCACTCGCGATGTTTCCCGTACAAGACTTGGCTTACCCAGACGTGCTTCAGCGTATCGTGCAACAACACCTGGAAAACTCCAAATTCTCGAAAAGGACACAGACGATCGCGAATTAATCAACCTGTTCCACGCTTGGCTACATACCATCCAACCGCCAGCGCGGTCAGGCCTCCCACCTGAATGTTCATGTTGAAAAAAAGAAAACTTCACAGAACTTATCAGACTAGTCACGAACCGCAGCTGTGATTTTGGTCTTATCCGAGAGAAACTCTTGAAGTCCCGCACCAATTACGGCACCACTCGTTCTGAATCAGAGCTTTCGCAAAGGTGGATGTGAATATAAAGTGGATAAAGTTCCACGTTCAGAATAGCGAGAACTTCATCTCACATAACAAGTAACTCACTTGATCTTTTCGATTACAGTCTTCCTATTTTCTTCCTCATGCAACTTCATCTGCTCCAAGTTGACGTCACTAAAAACATAGGGATGAAAACTGCTGGAAGCAACGACGAATAAGGTGAAACAAACGGACCGATTCTCTCTCGCAGCCTTGGCACGTGCTCTGGTTTCAGCTTCAATTTTTTCCAACTCATATTTATGTTTTAGAGCAAGCTCATGTTCGATAGTTGCTGTAAGTGGAGTGTAAGGGGGACATTTGACAAAAACATGAGGTGAAAGTCTCTATCGTTGACAAAAGCAAGCTGTGCACTGCTGTAAATAAGTGCGAAGAAGCAAGAAAGGAAATACAGTGGAACACGAAATGTGAGAAAAGTTACCATCAAGAGTGCTAATCTACAAAAACACGATACGAAAAATGATAAATAGTACAAAGGATGGTATGCTACCTTTTCTAAGGGCCTCCTGCTTCTTCACACTCTCTTCCTGTTTCCTGAGGCTGTCCTCCTGCATTCTGGCTTTCATAGCTAGTTCATCTTCAGCTCGCTTCCGAGCTAATTGGTCTTGATAATCGGATCTCTATGACATGCAATGGGTAAGAAAGAACGACCAAAGCTGTTCAGAGAACAATAATTCTGCATTTGATACAGAGTGTCTCTTTCTGAGAAAACCGCATAGGTTCGATGATCTATAATGTATGGGAAAGTGTGAAACTCACAGCTCTTGCATGCTTAGTCTCCTCATTCAATGTCTTCCTACGCTCTTCTTCAGCTACTCGCATCTGGTCGGACTTCATGGCTTGTATTTGTGCCTCTAGTTGCTGAAATTTTTGTATAGCTGTTACTAGAAAGTTCAGTGTGAGAGCTGTATAGAGCATTGAAATCACCTTAGTCTGCTGTTCGACTTCCTTCTGTCGAGTAACCTCTTGCAACCGACTCAGTTCCAAAGCCTCCTTTGCATTTGGAAACCTCTCGAGTTCTCTTGCAGCCTTGGCAGCTCTTTCCAAAGCCGTTGAATCAAAAGAATAAGCCATCCTCGAAGATTGCTGTTGAGCTGAATACGAGAAATATTTGCAAAAAAACTCATATGCGATTTAAAAACTGAAAAACAAACTTGCATGGCCATACCTTGATCACCTTTTTTTGGTTCTGTACCACCGCCGCCTTGCGGAGGATTGAAATCCGATGGTATCTCTGGTGGTGCCGCAGGTTTGATGCCAAACAGCCATGACATCTCAAACAAAACATTCCATAACAGACCTCAGCATTAGGAGAGGTGGAACAATACCATACCAAGATAGATATATTATTGTATTTAATACATATGAAAATAAGCATGCGAGGAAGAATCCATTTATGTACAATTTATCACAATTTGATAATGTATTATTATTATTATTATTACATGTACATAAAGTCACACCGAATAAACCAAAAAAGTAGGACAGCAGCTTGGAAGTGTAACATCAGTATGATTCTCTTACCTTAATTTCGGATTTGTGAAAATCGAGTAATCACAGTGAAAGCCTCTAACTAAGTACACTTGACGATCAAACTGGATTTTGAGAGAGGAACATGTCTGCGGATTTTTCCTCGAAGTTACAATCACTGTAAAAATCAGTCAGAAACTCAGAATTTCTAAATCCCCGTCTTGGACTAATTAAAAAGGAGACACCCCATTGTGATGATGATGCTTTATCACTTAAGAGGACAGGTTTTCAATCACAGCCAAAAGATAGTCCTTATCGGGTGCAATCATTATCTCATTCTTTTTTGTACGAAGACGAAGGAATGTCAAATCGTTTGATCCATCCAGTTCTCGAATTACACTCTTTGACTTCTCGCAAAGCTGTTGAAGTAGAGCAGAGTGCCTTGCTGTAGACTCATCGTCAAGCGTGGAGCGGATAGCTCGACCTAAGATTGGAATAAACTTGAAAAAAAAAGATCAAACACAGTCGAAACTCGAGTTCTTGGATGTGAGGTAGACTATATAAAATCCAAAAAAAGCAGGCAATTGATTGAACAATCCAAAAGGCCAAAAGCGCCATGATCGAACTTACCAGAGTTATCCATCACTATGACGCCAATCACACCTTTTTGCGATTGTATACGTTTGATAGTCTCTTCCACATCAGACATTTCCTAAAATAGAAGACTTCAATTGGGTAGGATTGTAAATTACTTATCGAGCAGAATGGGCAGGTAGCAAGTATGTATGATGACGAAATTCGCTAGATGTTTTTCACAGCAGTAAAGTTAAAAAAGACATTGCATCAATGACCGCAAAGCCTTTGAGAGAATCGAGATCGGAGCGCGAAAATCAAAGCGATGCTCGCGCTTGGAGCAGGTCATTGGTATTCTGCAGTTTTCGACTACAGACTATGATCTGGTTGGGTAATATATAGATAGATTGTTGAAGAGTTTCGTTCAGAGCAGGGAATCTATCTACTTTATCTAATTCCATCTAATATATAAAGAATCGTTAGCTCAATTCAAAAATCTTTCAATAGCAGGAAACCAAGGGCGGTCCCCAGCGAGCGCGCCACTAGCACCTTTGAAATTACTGGTTCACTGATAATATAAGGAGAGTCGTAACGTCATACAAAAACATCAGATAACGAGAACCGCAAGAGAGCACATAAGATACAGGGAGGTATACGTCATTTATAAAATCGTAACGACGGATACGACTGCGCCCCACAAGAGCGTGAAACACTCGTACAAAGAAGTATCACCGTCTTTCAAGATCAAAACCACATAAGAATTTGTCAGTTAACATATTCACGACAATATGACCCACCAGTGATCCGTATTTCTAAGCATTGCAAGTTTTCAAAGGTACTAAATGGGGAAGTACAGTATTTGGCCAAACTTCCAAAGGCCGAAAGTTAATGTGCTCCAAACAAGATTCGCATTAGAGCGCCAATCTTGTTCGGAGCACCATATTTCTGGCTTAATTTTTCTCGGCTATTCTCTTAAGATAAAAGTAACAATTTCTTCTATCGTTTCGCACTAGAAAAGTAAAGTTTTCTCGAAAAGGTTTCGTTTTTTGCTCTAGTTTCTTATGTACCTGGGGTGATTTTTCATGGAGATTCCGAATGTAGTTTGCATTTGGCGATATCATCGTTACTGTATTAGAGTAATCTTCAACTACAGAAAAGATTATTGATAGAGAGTGATATCGAAAGAAAGAAAGAAGATAACTGATCATGAATCCGTTAGACATATGTACCTAAGTGCAGCACAGGGTGGGAAGTGATATGACTAACCGATTTCCTACATCATCCTTAAAAAGTTACTCGTGTACAGATCTTCTGATATTGGAATGAAAAATATTTGCACGAAAACAATACCCTATATAAAGCCATGCTTCTGCTGGTGATTCCTATTCTGCAACGAACACACGCCGGAGCACTCAAGGATGGCAGAGGCAAGGATGGCAGAGGCAAGGATGGCAGAGGCAAGGATGGCAGAATCAACCGGTACGGATGGATGAAGAAGTTGGAGACGAATGCAGATGGAGGACGAAGAGGAGAAGAAGAGAAGAATGGATGAAAGAAGAAGCCGATTAGAAGAAGGACATTATAGGTAGTTCTGACAATGTTGCGCATGAACCGCATGAAACTAGCGGATGAACGCAATTCGTAAACGCCTCTCTCTTGCTCAGAGCCTTCTCAGACAGTTGGAACGTGCAGCGCGCAGGAGATACATGGTGGTGGCGCAAGCACGCACCAAGTGTCTGAGTTGGGCTATGCGCCGTTCATACGCAACTGTCAGGAAAAAGCTGGATGCAGAGCGGGAGCAAGTCGAAGAAAGGATCAAGTCATTGTGATACTGTAATAAAGATTCGATGGGGGGGGGGCTGTTGGAAAGTTATGTGCAGTGTGCAGGCGTCATGAGTTATGTAAAAGTAGTCGCGCAGCATTCCACCTGCTCATCTTATCTATCGTCAGTTGTGTCAGCTTCTTCGTTGGATCGCAACCGCTTGCGGACAAGGATGCGGGCTGGTCAAAGTCGATAAACAGCTGATTTTTCTCCATCCAACCACATTGATAAAGAGTGATCCCCTCGCTACCAAAACCGCGCCGCTTCTGAAGAGCAATGCCTATGCCCGCTACGGTCGTGTGATCAGGCCATACACGCCATAGTTGATGATGATCCACCATAGTCTATCCTGTTGCCCCAGAGAGGTTCCCATGTGAACCAGCGTGCGTACGTGGTGCGACGCTGCCTTTCGCTCTTTTTGACACGTTTCTCCTGAGATTTCAATGGAAGTGCCCGAGGTTAACATGTTCAAAAGTGCAAAAGGCAGCGAGATGACGTGTTACCTATGGGAACCTCTCTGGGGCGCAGACGATACTTCCTAAATGGGATTTCGACATATGTTGGGAGACATCTAGATAGCTAGAGCAAGGCTTATAGGCTACTGCATGACGAAGGCGCAATACCTTCGAGCGCGAACGCGGCTTTATTAGCCGCGGAGGGCATGAGGGGCAGGGTTTGCAACAGTGAAGATAATGCGCGCGCCGAGTTCGCGCTCGCTCAACTAATACTGCTTCTGCAACCGTCTTGCACTAGTCTTCACTTTTCGGAACATAAGATCCCTCAGTGACAAAATAAAAACACGAATTGGCACCCAGGGGTACTGTATCCGAAACGGCAGACATTGATGAAATGGGCTGTCGTGAGTGTGTTAAAAAATACGGCCTCAGAATGTAAAATGAGTATTTCGCCTTTTCTACTTCAAAAAAAAACGGCGCTATTCCAGTATACCAACCCCAAAAATCAAAAATCTCGGATTTCGCTCAAACTCGGTATAAGGGGGTTATTTGATCCGCTGATGCCAAATATCATATCGATTCCGTGCGATAGCGCCATTTTCCGGGGGTTACGGTGGGTAAACGGTAGGGGTCAAAATCACAAAATTCTCTGAAACTCGGTAAGAGGGGGTTATCCGACATGCTGAACGCGAGTTTCATATTCATTCGTTACGTTAGCTCCTCATTCCGGGGTTATGGTGGGTATACGGTAAGGGGTCAAAATCACGATATTCGCTGAAACTTCGTGTAAGGGGGTTATTTGACATGCTGATCACGATTATGATGTCTATTAGTTACGATAGTGCCTCATTCCGACGTTACGTTGGGTATACATTACCGATACCATCGCTAAATCAAGATTCAGGGCTTGAAATCTCAGTCACAGAAATTTCCTCCCCTGCTTCGCTTAGGCGAAAGCCGCCGCAGGATGTATCGCGCGCGGCGGTGGGCGTGGAAAGCAGTGAATTTGACCCTCCTGCAGTATACCCCACCGTAACCCCGGAATGAGGTGTTACCGTAACGAAGGGATATCATATTCGTGTTCAGCGCCAAATAACCCCCTGCACTAAGTCAGAGAATTTTGTGATTTTGACCTCCTACCGTATACCCTCCGTAACCCCCGGGAAATGGCGCCATCGCACGGGATCGATATATTCGGCGTCAGCGGATCAAATAACCCCCTATACCGAGTTTGAGCGAAATCCGAGATTTTAATTTTTGGGGTCGGTATACTGGAATAGTACCAAAAAAACAAACATAGTCTACGCTCCAAAAAAGGATTTTATACACTGTTCCAACCGAGTATGGCTCCTCAGACTTTCGTTGCGTACCAGCGGCGTACCTAAATGGCTTTGCGTACCAGCGGAGTGCGATTAACGTACCAACGGCGTTTCTTAATGCGCCCTACCAGCGGCGTACCGTCTTTTGGCGAGCGGCGTTCCATCAACCCAAGCAAGCGAGCGGCGTCCCATCACATTACCCCACGCTGTAAGCGTAAGCCGTACCCGCATGGGATACGACGCAGTGGTTGGGCCGCCTCAGAATTTTAGTGGTTAGCTAACACTTCTCGGCACTTGACAAAGGAATAAGATTGAGTTGTTGTTCTTATTGAGTGACCTGATAACACCCCAGCTGGGTGTTGTAGGGGTGGCCCACAATCCCCCGGTTTCGATTCAATGAAGTCCATCGATCGAAATAGCAGGAAATTTTGCGCTGATTTCGGCTTCATAAAATATGACGATATAGCAATTTTCAAACCAACTAATGCTGCAATTAGTACGTAATCAAAAATCGGGTGAACATGCGGTCCGAAGGCGTACCCTCTTGGCGTACCAGCGGCGTACCATTCTCCTGCCAGCGGAGTTCCACAGCGTACCAGCGGCGTGCGACTGTCCTACCAGCGGCGTTTGCGTGCTGCGCTCAGAGGACAGTCGAACGCCGCTGGTACGCAACGAAAGTCGGAGTCCATGTCAGGAGTCACGCCGCGCGTCGCGCCGCTTCGCCGCGCACGTCGCGTCTAAATTTTGTACCCCATAAAACTGCCCGGTGCTAAAGTGGCACGGCGCCAGTCTAGGGGGGTGGGGGTGGGGGGGGGGGGACAGGTACATGGCTCGTGCCCTAAGTAAGACTGCGCCAGGAGGCTGGCTTCTATTTTGCTGACATCGCTTGCGGCATCGCTTCGCGAAAAATTCGCGCCGACCGTGACTCTTGACCGTTCCCCCACTCCACCCGATCTCCCCTGCTCTACGTCTCTTACCTGCGGCGTACCCGGCTAACATGTTGCAACATGTGACAGCATGTTGGCAGTATGTTTCGACTGCTCTAGGCCAACATATTGTCGCGTGTTACATGGTATCGTCCTTTCACACAACTGTAGCGGCCACCGCTTGCGGACAAGGATGCGGGCTGGTCAAAGTCGATAAACAGCTGATTTTTCTCCATCCAACCACATTGATAAAGAGTGATCCCCTCGCTACCAAAACCGCGCCGCTTCTGAAGAGCAATGCCTATGCCCGCTACGGTCGTGTGATCAGGCCATACACGCCATAGTTGATGATGATCCACCATAGTCTATCCTGTTGCCCCAGAAAAGTTCCCATGTGCAGCGTGCGTACGTGGTGCGATGCTGCCTTTCGCTCTTTTTGACACGTTCCTCCTGAGATTTCACCGGAACTGCTCGAGGTTAACACGTTTAAAAGAGCGAAAGGCAGCGAGATGACGTGGTACCCATGGGAATCTTGCTGGGAAACAAACGATACTTGATCCGCATTATCAACTTCGCTATCGGTCAAGTTCAGTGAATGACTGATAGCGGTGGGACAAGTGGATCAACTATGGCGCGTGCCTTTACTAGTAGCTTCAGATCGTTGCCGGCAACGCAGTACTGCGTTACACGCAGCACCTCGTCTTCTCCAAACAGAAGAGAGTAATGGGACGACGAAGTTGCTTGTCCTGAGGTCCCAGAGTGGTGCTTCTGGCAAAGTTCCAGGGCTCTTGAAAATGTACAGTTATCACGTTGATCATTTACCCACAGCGGCAGCCAATATCAGCCTTGATTCTTTTATTCGGCAGTCATCTTCGCGGCCACTTAGCTCCTACTAGTCAGATCATTCCGCCTAGATCTGAACACCTTATGTCGATGCACCCTTCAAAAGCAGTGTTGCAGGTGATGCTTCCTATCCTGACCTTGTTATTCAATCTCAAGCTTGCTTCCGCTGGGAAAGGTCCACTTCGATGTCCGTTTGACTTTCTTTGCCACCATGATGGAATTTGTGATACAAATGGGTCATGCATCTGCGAGCCTAGCTGGACAGGTAATGAAACAGGTTTCAAATGTATTCAGCTATAGCATGAAGAGATAAATAGCCCACTCAATCTAACCAAATGTTGTTATACTTATATACAGTAAGTGGCGGTTCCAGAATTTCCGTTCGGGACGAGCGCGGGGCGGGGGAAGTTTTTCTAAATGAGGATGCGTAGAACTAGCCATGCACTCGGAAAGATTTTCTGGCATGCTTCTCGAAATTTTTGCGAGCCCATAATCTCGAGATTTAATATATAAAAAATCGTAGCGCCAATCTAAAAACACCAGAAAGCGGGAAACCGTAGTGCGGTCCCGAGCAATGATGCAGATGCAATCTAACACCTGTAATTACTGGTTCACTAGTTTTGAAAAGAAATAAATTTTGGGGAGAAATGGCGATAGCGAAGCCAAATTCTTTACAAGGCTAGTTGATTTGGAAAATTTTAGAAAATTTTGGTTTCTTACAAATACTAATGAGTTACTTGCACGTTTCCACATAACCTAGGGAAGTAGAAAATTTTGCGACCCCTACACTCTATCTCATTTGGAGTGAGACTGACTCGAGCGGTTCGGAACGCGCGCTGCCTGATCCCTGCGTCGCGTGTACGTGTTCTATGACCACACCGATCAAAGACTGAAGCTTTGATCATCTACAGCCTCTATAGCTCTACAGACACACGCACAGGACGTCTAAGTGCAGTCATCTGAAGATGACCGGCACAGACAGCCAGAAGAATGTTCCGTCATCGTGACCCGGCGCAATACTTTGCGAAAGCAAAGCAACGATGGGCCGGTTACTTTATGAGAACATACCTACGGGCACTAAGAACAGCAGAGTGGATATTTCGCGAAGCAGAGCGCCTCCGCGGAAGATCTACAGCGATATGGGCAGATGTTCGTGGAAGGGATAAACCAGCTGAGAAATCAGCTAGATACGATCACACTTGTAACTCGTGGATGCAGCCACCATCGACAACGAGAAAGATCGTGGATGTCTGAAGCGAGGGAGGGGGAACATTGGAATCTTGCTAGGGCCCGCACACGTGAGAACGGGCCACCTACTATCTAAAGTCTAAGAGATACCATACCTCGCACGATTCCATTCGTTGCGCGATCTGGTATTGCAACGACTCTTCGTAATTAGTCTTAAGCGCGCTTTGCTTGGGCCAGACTTGAAGGTTTTGCGACAACTTACAGAGACTACGCGCTTATACATTTGAGATCCTCGCGCGGTTATTCTGAGGAAATCTGGCAAATATCCAAGTCGCTTGAATGTAGCGATTTGACGGAATCGCGAGAGGTATCCCTTAGGCCTAAGTAAATATGACTCTTCCAGCAAGGGTCCGCAGCAGAGGGTCAGATATGAGATTGGCACCCGAAGACCTAACAATTACTTCTCGCTTCTTCAAATGTCACTTCAATTTGGAAATTTTTCTAGTGGGATATTGGCCAAGGGGCATCGCAAAAAAATCCACGGCTAGAAAATTTACTTCAAGTTCTTAACCCCTCGCAATTACGATGCCTTTAAGATTACAACACCTAATTGGGAACACTCACCCAAACTGGAGATTGTTATGTACCACCCAGATCTGCTGCGACAGCGTTTCTCAAACAAATTGAATATTGAAGCCATAAGGAACAAGAAGAAAACACATCGAGTCGAAGTTTCAAACTGTCGTGAAGTAATCTCAAAAATTTATGCACAGTTTCGTGTCTACTCTCCTCTCCCCAAAAACGGGTTGCGAAGAAAGTATGAGGGTGTCCCATGATTTCTAGTTTTTACTACAACCGTCGTCTCTTTGTAATTTTTCTTCAACTGATATGGCTTGAGTGATCATTGGACAGGGCAAAGCAAGCTCTACAAGATGGCTATGAAGACGGAAGTTTTGAGCAAAAAATCTGATAGCAGTCGGAAACGAACTTTTCTTTGGAAATCGTATCTCCGCCCTCAAATGTCTTAAAGATTCCCCATTTATCTTAGCGTATGCTTGACACATCGCACATTCAACTGCACTATTTCCGTATTTTTTCCATGGCTAGAAATGAGGAAAAAAATGAATGGGGTAAAATGGCAAACTCCGTCCATAGACATCCTGTGCTCCTCCCACGCGCATGATCATAAAGCTCATACATACAGAAGTACGACCTGTCTTTGCAAACTATGAAGGTGCCCCAGTTCTCGAGAAATGCTGATGTTTAGGGTAAAAAGGGTAAAAAATTATGGGACACCTTAATAAATAGCCTAAATGGGTTGTAAAACTGCGCAAGTGACTTTACTTTTGAATAATTGAAGTAAGTCCCGAAGTTTTTCCAAGGATCTAAATTAGCACTATGAAAATTCTTTATGGAGGCATGGCTGCTGCCAGACCTTGAAATATCGGAATTATGCGCGCAAAATCTTAGAAAGCATACAAACATTTTTTTCAAGGCGTGGCTTTAGCCAATTGTTTATGAAAAGGAAAAATCAGTCGCGCTTCTATCGAATAAGAAATCTCAAGGACTTCCACTGAGCTACAGCCATTGATAAACATTGATAATGCATTGAATGCTAACTGAATAAAAAAATAAGTAATCACTGAATTTTATTTTGTACAGGTGACATGTGCGAGCTGGAGGCAACACCATGTCCTATGCGACCATGTGTCAACGGGAACTGTCAGCTTGACGCAAAAGGAGAAAAATTTTGTCAGTGCGATCACAGATTCGAGGTTGTGTGCATGTCCATGTTTCTCTTAGGTTGTCGATATACGTACTAGGTATAGCTTATAACTGCTTCCATATAGGCGATTCATCGCGCGCAGAGAAAGGGCGCCACCTTTTTGGGTAGCACTGCGTTCTCTGGACTACTTTAAGCTAGAAATTTTTTCTAATTTTCTAGCTGAGAAACGCTCCTTTAGGGAAAGTATTGTGAGCTTGATAAAGACGAATGCGCTTTCAAAGTATGCCCTGCTGATGCAGAATGTTTGAATCATATGCCAAGACACGATAAAGACAGGTGAGCTTTAATTCCAAATTTTTGCGTTTCTAAAGGCAGCGTCCAAGCAACACTGGACACATGGGGATTTTACGTGGAAAGTACTTTTGGGCCTCTAACTAAGGCACTGTCCAAGCGGCTTATGGCAGTTTCGCGTCAAGATCCACGCTTCGCGCCATGAATCCATGTGAATACAATCGTGGAGTCCAGTTTCGAGGGGAATATCTCAGCCTTTAGAGCACTACCTGCGCTGCCGCTTGGGCAATTAGGCCCCAAAAGTACTTTCCACGTAAAATCCCCATGAGTCCAGATCTGCCTGGACGCTGCCTTTAAGGGTAGCGATAAAATAATAAAAGATTTTCAGAATATTATCAAATGTGATGGTGTTGCCTACATTAGCGAGAATATTTATGATACTTTGCGCGGTGACCATTGCATGGGCATTTGTACCTCTAGACGCTTATCAGTGACGGAGAGGTGGGGGGAGGGGGCTCTCCACCCTCCGAAAATGGGTGGCGAAATTCTTGAAAGTTGCTTACATGAATAGGCAATGTCCACGTGACTTGTTCATACTCGTAAACAATTAGAATATTTTCTGAAGTTTTCAAAAATTCATACATTACGGGCCCGTGAAAAATCTTGAGGCGCATCCCAAACGATTTCGGAATGCGGGGCTAACGCGACGCACCTTCATTCGGAAATTCCCCCCCCCCCCCGCCCCCTCCGAACGGAAATCTTGGGACCGCCACTGGCTTGCACATGTGGGAGCAACATATCAGAAAAGTTGTGTATGTTTTTCTGGCTTCGGCTGAAAAAGAAGGAGAGTGCATCACAATCTGTCTGAAAGTTACTCGACAAATTTGTGCGAGTGACTTAGTATTTTCAATTAATTTGAAAATTATGACTTCTGGAAATTCGAATTCAAACTAGCTTTGTAAAAAAATAAATTCTCCTTTGGTCCGTGGCCGCCGCCATGTCTTTCTTTTTCTAACCTCTAGTCATGGTTGCGTGAATATTTTCAAAACATCTTAAACGAAGCTCTTCATATCAGTTCTGCTAAGTTGTCCAAGTTGTTAGTGTGAGACATTATTGCTTTCCGAGATTATCGTTTTGTAGCGAAATTTTGCGTATCACAATTCTCCCAGTCATTTTGCTGGAAGGATAGCTGCTTTATCTCCATCACGCTGCATTGCGATCAGGTTCAACGTGCTGTGATGCCATCTACACAGCTTCTTGGCTAGTGAAGTTCCTCATAATTATAAAGATCTATTTTGGAAATTGTCGCAGGAAACGGATAGATGATCACGACGCATTGAACAAACAACAAAGTGTTTTTTTATGACACAATCCTTTGCAGTAAATGGCTGGACATGCACTTGTCCCATTGGAAGCGTCTATTTTCTTGAGGGAGGCGCAACAAATTATTTGATTGAAAGGACCTTGTTGATTCAAACCCTCAAAAAATACGAAGCAGATGAATTGTTTCTTTGAGAAAGGGCATTTTGTTGTCGACTATGGCAATGTATCAGTATTGATAGTTCTGTCAGTGTTCTAGGGCAAGCTTGTGTCTTTTGTAAGCAAGCACAAAGATTTTTTTAACGCTTCTGGGACACAAGGAAATCAAAACGCTCATAAGTTGAAGCATTGCCACTTTTGAGCCCACCAAATCGTACAATGAAGTTTTGAGACTGCCTTATCAATGAGAGGAAAAATAAAGAAACGTGCAATTTTATTTTTAACAAAGCAACGAGCAACAGAAAGGTAGTCAAGGTCTTCTTTGAGATTTGCTGAGTATCTTTTTCCAATAATCTTTGTTTGAACGAAACTATCACAGCGAACGAATCGCACTTTTTCTCTGGAAGTTTTTGTATGGGAAAAACTCAGCATCTATATGCTAAAGGTGACCGAATAATACAATGAAGTCTTGAAATGTCAAGAGCAATCCTAGATGATGTGGAAGTGTTTTAGCCGGGTAATAGAAGAGTATTATTGTGAAAAATAAGTCCCCTTGAATCTTTGTTTTCTAGACCACCTCCCCTCTAATATATCGGTCAGTGCTGATGTAGTCAAAATGCTGTTTAAACATATGTAAGGCTATTATCGTTTTCATAACATGCAGCAACAGTAGGAATGGTTACAATGAACAACGGTAATGGTGGTAACTCTGGTAACTTTGGTAACAGTGTAGCAGCGATAACAACGGTGATGTAGTCTGAAGGTTTAGAATACAGTTATTGATAGGCCAAAGATTTAACTGGCAGTGTACATGTGCAAGACTTATCTGTCAAATTCGCTCCATGCTTGGTCTGTTCACTGATTTGACCAATCGTGAAGCGACAAGCGGCTAAGCGGGTAGGTTGGTACCTGCCTAAGTTGTTACTTGTACGCGAAGAACAACTCAAACAGCTTTTAGTCTGGGAAAGCACAGCTTAACTCCGTTTCCATCTTCAGCTTTGCTTCATTTCCTTACTCCAGGTCATCGGTCATCCTCATTTTTTGATGTCGGAGAAAATTAAGCATATACCTACAACTCTGTCCTTGTTCCTCCATTTCCTGCAAAAATCAGCTAAATAAAGCCGATAGGCTTTGATTCTGTATCCACAAATAGCCTCTCTCCTCCGCGAGTCCAAGTCACTCACGCTTCAGTCATATTTCGATCTCTCAGGGGATATTCATGCATTTGTCCTACTGGATATGTTGGCGAGCAATGTGAGATAGAGGTGGACCTCTGCGAACTCTATAAGAAAAAGGTTATTACGCATTGATTTTGATGTAAAATTTCCGAATTGGTTCTTTTGTAGGGTGACAACTACTGTCATAATGGTGGAGAATGCGAAGCTCGCCATGTCTGTATGTGTCAAGACGGTAAGTCGGAAACATTTTCGTTATCCAGTCATCCAATCCTTTGGAATTTGCACAGTTTGTACTTCCTCCCGTTTAGTAGGCTAAATAATCTCATCTCACTTACTGTTTTCGTAAGAGTGTAATATGTTCTGAATGATAGGCCGATATGCAGATGCTTGAATGAGCAAACAAAGTTACTTCTGAGTAATATCTGATCAAAAAATGCAGATGTGTTGAAGGAGTGAGGAACCTTTGGATATGTGACACGAAACACCGTACGATTTAGGATATACAGGGTGTCCCGAAAAATGTGAACACTGTTTGATCTTAATAACTCCGTTGCTTTCATGTCTTTCGCCGAGCTTGAGGCACCATTCTGTAGAGCGAGGTTCAGCTTAGACTTGTAGCATGGAGCGAATCATCGATCGCTCTTCGTTACTGTAGGTTTACGGTATGAACTTTCAGCATGTGGATCCATTGTGAAACATGCCATTTGACAAAATTTTTTTCAAAAATCTGAAAAATCGTGTACTAGGGTTTTTGCGCGCGCTGATTCTACTGCACAACTTTTTACGAGTGTTTTTAGCTTTTTTGACGGTGTAATCACATTTCTGACAAATGCTGGAAATTCCTTATCACGGTTTAGCTGGGATAACCTTGGAAAGAAGCATAACAGTAGAGTGGAAATTTCATAATCGAACTCAGCGGCTTCCATTACCATAGTGTAAAAGTTTTGGCTTGTTTGGTTTTGTTCCGAGGAGAATATGGCCTCCAATGGCCTAAAATCCTTGTCGAAGTTCCTACCGTAATCGTACAGTAATGAAGATCGACGTTTCGCTCCATACCATTGATCTAAGTTGAACCTCGCTCTATAGAATGGCCTCAAGCTCGGCGAAAGACGTGAAAGCAAGGGAGTTATTAACAATCAAACAGTGTTCACATTCTTTTGGGACACCCTGTATAAACAAAATTCTTAGTATAACTCATAATTAGTATGAAAGTACATAGTTTATATTAGTTCGATGGAAGCTACTTGCTTTGAACTGCAGAATTAATGGTTTTATATTTTTTTAGCCTATCTTGTTTTGAGTTTTTATAAAAAATCAACAAATTGGCAAACAGTAGTAAAGGATTCAGATCAGATGGCTTCCCAACGTTATTTTTGTCTGAAATTACATCCTCGTTCTGTTCCTCTCCCCCCTTACCCTTAGGTAAGAGTTTTTGCGGGAGCCTTTGTCGTAAGCATTTGATTTTGCAAAACACCTATCTTAGGATTTGGGGGTGCACGCTGCTCACATCGTGTTCCACTCCGTCATGAATACGAGGAGTTCGGTTAGTTCAGTGCTCAAATCGTATGCTGTCGTAATTGTTATCTTGTTCTTAGGCTGCCCGGAGCGTCCTGAAGTTTGTGCAAAACTTTTCGATGATGGTAGATGTGATGAGATTTGCAATCGGGAGTCTTGCCTTTTTGACGGCTTTGACTGTGCTGAGCGCAATGGCATTGCATGCAGGTAGAGTGGGTTTTAAGGCTGCGCCCAGAGTTGTCCGTGTTACACCTCTGCGCTAGCGCCGTGCTAGCGCTTACGTCGCTTCTAATATTGATCAATTGACGTTCCAGCACGGCGCTGGCACGGGCAACCCTGAAACTTGAAAATAAAGGTGGTAGTGGCGGTTGGTGTTTGTAAATTCCGCGGTATCGGAAAGTTGTTATGCTAATTCAGAAATCCTGTTGATTGTGCTTATAAATATGGAGACGGCAAATGTGACGAAGAATGCGCTGGAGCAGAGTGCGGTTACGATGGTGGTGACTGCGAAGTTTGTACTTCATCTTTGTCTTTATGGAATGACCCGCAACCAACGAGTTTTCACGAATTTCAGCAATCAAAGAGTACAGCTGGCACCGATGAAAATATGATAGGTGTTGCAGTTGGAGTGCCTCCAGATGTGGCAGTCAAGAATCTGAGGCAGTTACAAGCGGAGCTGGCGCAGGTAAGTACCGTTGTAATTAGCGCCAACTTTACATGAATTAAGTACCGTTTAGCGTCTTTACACGCATGTTAGCATAGCCGAAGATAACGAAGGATTTATGGTGTACGAGTGGAGCGTCGACGGTGGTCAAGGTAATCGGATCTCTGTTATCGATGAACAGTTAATTGCAAGGTGAGACTATAGATAGATGTTTCTTACTAAACTGAGTCTCTGGTGCTAACATATGAGAGGCTATTCTAGAGTTAGCAGCGTAAACGCAACACTTGTATTCAAATATCTAGAAACGCTTAAGTAATCTAAAGCGTAAATGCAAGAGAATTATACCATTTAGCCTAAAAAAAAGCGTAGACTACAAAGCACAAGCTCATTTTTTGAGTGTGTAAGACTTATATTTGTACAGCTATCAAACTACTTCATACTTCCATTTACCTACCAAAAAGAAACCTGCGGATTTAGGAAAAGATTATCTCAAGAAGCTAGAAATTAAGATCTAGTCATGCTTTGTGCTTTCATCGTATAAAAAGTCGCAGCCGTTGATATGTGATTGTAAAACATCAAAATTGATTTATCGAGAGAAATTCAAGCTTAATATTCGGAGAGAAATTCAAGCTCAATGTTTGGTTATCTATTATATTAGGTTGGCCCGAAAGTTCTTTCGCACCATTTTCAAATATTCATAGCTCCCGGTTCTTTCAGCCGATGCGTGTTTCCATTTTTATCTGAAAGAGCAATTCATTCTCTTCATGGCGGTATCATAGAGGCTATCTCATGAGCATACACTTCGTAGATAGGAGCGGTAGAACAAAATTTGTCAAAAATCGAATTTTCTGTGTAGGGCCATAAAAAATCGGAAACTTGCAACAAAAATCGGAGCAATCAGTATTGTAGGTTTTTTGCCAGCTCTTTCTAACAGTGCACAGTTTGCCCCGATTGAGCGTCTCTATGGAAACTTACGATTTTCGACCAAGCATTACAAAAGGGCGAATTTGATTTATTTTGGCATTTTCGGGTAAATCATAACTTTTCATAGAGACGCTCAATCGGCGCAAACTTTGCACTGTTAGAAAGAGCTTGTGAAAGAGACTACAATACTGACTGCTCCGATTTTTGTTGCAAGATTCCGATTTTTTACGACCCTACACGAAAAATTCGAATTTTGACCAATTTTCTTCTACCACTCCTATCTATGCAACAGGTGATTATTAGCAAACAGCTAAGACGTCATTATAAAGGGCTTGACTTACTCTTTCATTTAAAAAGAAAAGCAGTCAAATCGGTTGGAAAAATCAGAAGTTATGAATTTTTGAAAATGATGCGAAAGAACTTTCGGGCCAACCTAATAATTTAAGAGTTTTCCAGCCAATGATTTTTTGAACCTAACAGTTTGTTGAGGTTTCTTCCACAAATAGTAGTGAGTTGGCGTTTTCGTCATCATGAACCATACCTTTCCCACTTGCAGTACCCTGAACGACAGCGCGAACGGTACTATGGTATTCTTTGCTGTCGACACCCTTGGCTGTAGACTGCTTCTTCGTCGGAATCATAGCAAACACCAATGTTTCACCGATCTCCGTCCTGCCACTACTTATCTGACGCTGGAACTGGCTCGTACGCGACAAGCAAGCACACAAACTCTTCCTATTCGAGATATCACGTGGAGGAAGAAGAGATCTGAGGTAAGGAATTTTAGCGCTTTCGCATAGTTTTGCCTTACCTACTGGTCAAGGTGGGACTAGCCCCATCTCTGACGTCGCCAACTACACTGATAGTGATTTGCATTGTTGCCGGTGTCCTCAGCTGCATCGCTTGCACAGGTGTGATTGTTGTGATTATAAGGGTGCGAAAAAGAAGAAGAAGGACAGTGTTTGCGCCGTTTTGGAGAATTCCAGGTAAATTCAGTCGCGCTAATTTCTTGCAGTTAATTTTGCTGCATTTTTAGGTCAAATCTTGCGGCAAAAATCAGGTACCAATCTTGTTTCTTGAAATTTTCTAGAATCAGATAAAATGCAGTTACAGGTGAATTACTGAGTGAAAGTATTTACTGTCCACCAACACCACCAGAGAATAATTCCCCAGGAAACGGCAACAATGAACTCAGAAAGGTTCTTCTACACTTCTTACACTGATGTTCATTTTGTTAGCGCACTTTGCAGGATGCTGATATGGTGATGGAGCCAGTCGTGGACGGTGAGTGTCACAAAATCTGCATTGTGCGTTTCGTTGATGCATAGAGGCTCGCATACACCAACTCAGTTATCTGGTTGTGGTTGTTTTCTCAGTTAAAGAGCTTTTTCAAAAATTATGGACCTTTTCTCTCAAATTTATGAGTATGAAATCGGCAAGTTATTGAAATTAATTTGTAGTAAACAGATCAGTGTAGATAGACGTATAAGCTTACGAAACCATGCCTTGTAATGAATTGTTCAGAGGATTCACCACTCTTGCACGCTGTACGCCGTGGAGACCATCAGCTGGTTCAACAAATGATTCAAAGCGCGGAGAAGTTCGTTGATGTTGTGAGTACATTTTTACCGTGTAGCAGACACGAAGAGCTCTTCAATAAATTCAGGGCTCGGCACGAGGTGGCTAGATGAAAATGGAAAAAACGAAGTCCCCCTTGACTTTTGGGAATTTTTGCGAAGTCCCCTTTGACCCTGAACTAAATTTCTTCTAAAAACCTGAAAAATTCCCGAAAATCCCCAAAAAAACGAAACGTCGACTAAAAAAAAAGGTCGCCGTCGTCAATTTTCCGTATGTCTTCGCTCACAAAAACGAAACCCCCTTTGCTTTTCGTCCCAAAAACGATATCCAGCTTGCTTGTAAGCCACCTGTGCCGAGCCCTGAATAAATTTATCTGGATCTATGCATTATAATTTGTCTTGAGCATGTTTATTTATACTGAATTTGAAGGATATTGTTAGTACTACCAGTTAGAGTGAGCCATATGAAGAATTTTATATTGGGGTTTAAATCCTCATTCTAGCAATTTTTAGTGCTGTGTGTAAATAAGGTTACTTAGGATTAGCATTCCAATTCCGCTTGTGATGAAATTCAAAGAAAGCCAATTTTTTGAATTGTCTCTTAGAATCGAAAACCAATTTACAGTCGTTTACTTATTGAACGACTCATTCACATCTTATCACGAGCTTAAGAGAAGAGCTAAAACTATCTATTTTCCCATGGAACTTCTTGTGTTGAAAAAATTTTCTCCCCCTGTAGAATTGATTTTTCTGCGAACTCCTTGCTCTGTCGTTCTGAATATCTCTTTTGAATGAAGGGCATGCCACAGCATTAGCTTCCATGCCCTCCGAATATTTTGGGATGTTTCTCAAAGTTTTGCGGGGCTGTAACAAGAAAGAAAGCGCGAGGCAGCTTCAAAAAATTATTTTTCAAATCAAGTATCGACTTTCCCTAGTTTTCATGCATACTTTTGACAGTGGGAGGAACTGGTATGTGGAGAACATCTGTGAGTTCTATTACATCTTGATAATAAAAGACACTTTTTCATGTTGATAAGAACGGGCTGGGCTTGCTTCATCATGCCGTAGCCAACAATGATGCGAAAATGCTCAGCATACTCGTCGATTCTGGACAGTTGGATGTGAGTATGATCTAGAGCCAAGCATTCTGCTTCAAACTTATTTTCTGCTTGAATTCTCTTTTTCAGCTTTTCCAAAGAAACTCGGCAGGACAGTCACCGTTGCTTTATGCGGCAAAATCAGCTCATGCCGATCTCGAATGCATTTCTATACTTGTGAAAGCTATAGATAAAGTGCGCAAGAAACGCTATGATGACATTTTCAGCGGAAACGTTGACGATGTTGAAGCCAACAGATATTTCAGGTATAAGACTATACTATCTAAATCTGTAACGGATAGAATAGTAGTGTAATCACAATCAAAACTGTGTTCTCCGTTTCGTTCTGCTCTAAAACTTTATTCAAAGCAAAGTCTCTGAATTGGAAAAATAACTGTTTTCTCCTAGTAATTTGATAGTGCGACTTTTGAGGAATCTGCATGATAGTAATATTTTGTTCCTCTTTCTTTGTTTTCCCCTAATTTCTGAGTCCTTCACAATTTTGCAGTATCTTTTAGTCGATTATATCTGCTAAGCAAATTTAGGAGAAATCTTCTCAAAATGTTCCCGCTATACGATGAAGCTGAAGTCATGTACTCTCTTACCGATGCTATGGTAAGCTTCCAGTCTTTTATTACCCAGCTACTGGAAAAGCCTGATATGTTTTCAGGGTCGTAATGTTGTGCATTACGCCGCTCTTTACAATGCTCCACATCATATCAACTATTTCGCATCTTGCGGTGCAAACATGAATCTCATCGACACACAAGTTGGTTCTAACTTTTTCCTTGCTACAACGGAGTTTCGCTGAAAATAAGAGATCGACCACGTGTGTAGGATTGCTTGTTTTGTAGAGCTGAATCAACGTTCCAGCCTTAAACTTACTGTTGAGGAATATTTTAGCTACAGAGAAAGCTATGAGCAATAACTTTTTTCGAACATTTTGGTTCAACAAAGCTCTTGTAGCTCGCGCTTTGCTCTTGATCCTAACGTTTTTGATGCTGAAGCAGTTACTGAATAAACTTCTGAATGGAAATTTTGATGCAGGGTGATGCTCCGATTCATCTTGCTGCCAGGAATGGAAATTTCGAAGCTATTGTAGCTCTTATTCGCTGCAATTGTGACGTCAATATCAAGGACGGTTCAGGTATATGCATATAAGTTTTGCTTGTAAAATTGAACGCGAGGGAGGCTGTGGATCTTCTTCTAGATTGCCGGTGGGACTATAGGGATATTGCTTTGGAAGTGCTCCAAAAATTAGTCAAATTTTTGAAATCATCGGCTTTATTATTTTATTTTACTAGAAATAGCCCAGTAAAATTCTTATTATAGCAAGAATCGGTCAGGAATGTGATAACAATTATGGGGACTATATGATTCAGGCAGATTTTCTCACCTGGGATTGAAAAGCTGGGGAGATTTCGCGAAAAGGAGCAATATTGCAATGTAACAATGTTCTCCCATGTTTCTATAAATTCCAGATAGAACCGCATACGAAGTGGCGAAAATGCAAGGACACTTGACGGTTTGTCGCGTGTTCCAGATTGCTCATCTTCCAAATGGTTCACATCCGCTGGCCCATAATAATCAACCATAATAGAATTTTTACAAGTTAATTCATCCCTCAGTTTTCACGATCATCTATCGTTCAACGTGCTGAGTCTCAGAACAATGATCTCTTTCAAGCATCTGATACTCACTGGAACTAAATTCAGGGCACTTACCTTTGTCATGTGTCTCATGACTGTGTAAAATACCTTCCATATTAAAAGAGTATTGTACTACGAGCCTTGCAATAATACTCAGTCTTTGAAGTTATTGACATTATTCATGAGATATTCGATTAATTCACTCAGTTGATTATGCTACAATTTGCCGAATTTTTTGTTGTGTGTTCCTTAGTTACCAGAAGGCTATAGCACTCAATAAACATTTGCATGCTGCGTGTCTACATTTTGGGCACAAACAAATGGTCGTCAGTTTTACGATTAAAAGACGGCCAAAGAGATGAGATTGTTCAAAAATATTTTTCATTTCCTAAGCGCGAGTACACTTCAGTGTGAAATGTAGAAAGTTATGGCTAACAGCACTACGCGAGAGGTATAGGTGATTCATAGCACGCAAACACTGCGGATGCATCGGCGTCTCTCTGATCGAGCGCTCTTTCGTGTCTCCTACCATCTGCTGTCTCTCTCATGCACGAACTATCTTGGCCGGACGCAACGACGCCCAGTCTTTGCGTGTCACGGTCCGTGTATAATTGCCTCAATCACGAAGGTTGCTTTTTGTATTTCCTTGCTAATTCTGAAGGCAGTGGATTGAAATATAGATCAAAACATAAGTGCACCATATGTAACAGAAGCGGCATGAAAGCGTTTTCAAGACCAAAATCAGAGTTCTGGGGCATTTATGTGCCATTTGGAAGAGCTAGTTCTTTAATTTGTTCTTTACAAATGCTAGGACAGAGAATTTCAAAATCTCTTATGCCCAACAAAAAAATGAATGGTGTCGAAAATTTAGAATCAGGGCATACAGAGTTCCAACGTTTCTTCCAAGCTTCGAGATATCATCATAGCGTAAATATGGAATTATTTCAAAAATATTTGACCTACGCAGCGCATATGGCTGGCAAACCTATCGTTCATGTTGGCTGCCCCCTTCCCTCCCGAATAATGATAGATTGACCAAAAGACAATCTCGTTTCTTCATGCAAATCTATATAAAAATTTTGCTTGTAGTTTCTTTATCTAGGTTGTTGTAGGGCACTTATGCCCCAAAAGTCCAAATTCTCAAGAGCTCAGTTATTTGGCTTTTTGAGACTCGCTTCATGCTGTGATGGTTTTAGAAATAAGTAATTTGGTGTTTGGATACATCCACGTCTTCTCTAAGAAAATAATAAAAAAAATTTATAATTTGCCATTTTGAAATTCTTTACTAAAAAACGAAATTATTTCACATTTGCGCACAATGACTTGGGGTTTCTCATTACTTCGCGCCTTTTATCATAGAGAAATATATTTTTTCAAATAATACTTATATCCAGTTCTCATGAAGTGCTCTTTCCAAAGGTGCTAAACACTGGATAAAAATTTGTTCGCGCATATGTAGGAGCTGCAAAAGCGACCGAAATTATCTTTCAGCTAACCTAATACAATTTTGACAATGGATTTTTCTGTAGAAGATTGGATCTGTATCACTTGATCCTAGCCATGGACTCCTGGCTTCGCTAATCCTCCCAGGTCACAAACGGATGTGCAAGCGATTGCTATTCATTGAGGGATGTGTAATGAGAGAAGAGAACGACGACCACCACCAGCTCGGCTACCAACTGAGCCTCGCACGCAGCTGGAGCTGGATACACCTAGGTGTCGGCCCGTTATATCGCTCATTGATTGCACTCTCACCTCTGTCAATAAAGGACATTTGGAGAACATTTTGGACAGTTGTCCGTTCAAGTGGTCTGAAACAATTTCTGGACTTTCACCAAAATCCATAGAATTCTATTTTGCATGCAAGGCTAATTATTCAGCCTTGCAGTTATCGACACACTTCCTTATTTTTGTTGCCATTTAGAATATGCTTCACTCATTATCAAGACACCTTTTACTGCATCTAATTAGTCCAAACATTATCGAGAGCAGCATATATAGAGTTATTGTTGCAATGGGGTTTACTGAATGATGCGACCAGGATTTTTTTTACGCCAAGAACCAAAATCAATTATAAACTACTTTAATTCTTGTTTAACTCCATACGATTGCTTAAACGGGTGTCAAGACATTTTTCAGCAACAGAAAAAGAATTAGAATTACTTAAAATGGGATGGGAAGTTGTTTTCGAAATATCTTCTTGTTTGAATTGTTTTTCAAATTTGAAGCATCGCCCACCTTCTTCCTGTAAAGACTCTACATCACTTGTGTATTCGAGAGAGTTCTTCAACATTAGTACAGGTTATACATTCTCTTTGAGCTCACTTAAAAACATTTTTTTGAGTTCTGCCCTTCTAGACGTCTTAAGCATTCGTCTTTTTCCCAAATAATTGAGATCCGAAATCTCATCCCTCATCCACACGAAATCTTTGGTAAGAAATGCAACAGATGTCCTAGTCTTGCAGAACGCATAGATCCATCAAAACAAAGCTTCCCATCATCAATTCCGCACTTCCTCCCCATTGTTTCCACTATTGTTGTTGTAAAGCCATAAAAATGCAAGAGAAAGGGACTCATCCTTTTATTAGAAGGCAAATGCTGGGCGTAGTCACCTTTTCTTGACTGTTTGAATTTATAATTTGGTCGTCCAACAGGACCCTTTCCTCAAAATTTTGAATGCAAAGTATTATTGGAATTCCACTTCTTTGGAATCTTCTTGATGATGGGTAGATAGTCATCGTTATATCATATCAATATTAATCCTTGGAACTTCTGAATATAAACAAAATAAACTATGAAACTCCTATGTTCAAAGTTCTTATCATTCCCATATCAGAGTTTAATTTCGAATCTTGTAAATTCCAATAATACTTTGCATTCATTTGCAGCTTAATCACAAATTTGATAAATGGAGTTGATTGTCATTTTTGTCTGGTTGAAATTTCTACAATGCTGTAAACCTCCAAATATTAGGTAGCGATCTGAAGCAGGGCACGGCACAGGTGGCACAGGCGGCTTGTAAGCAAGCTGGATATCGTTTTTGGGACAAAAAACAAAGGGGGTTTCGTTTTTTGCAGATTTTTTGAGACCGAAAAGACACAAAAATTACGACGTTTTTTCAATCACGTTTCGTTTTTTTGGAGTTTTTTCTTAGGGATTATGGTCTAGGGTCAAAGAGTACCTCGCAAAAATTTGCAAAAGTCAAGGGGGACTTCGTTTTTCGCATTTTCAACTAGCCTCCTCGTGCCGAGCCCTGATCTGAAGTTCTCCTCCTTTATTTAAAATGATGTTGCTTTTGCTTTGAGACTGCAACAGCGTTTTGAAAATTTGAAAAATTGTTGATTTTCCAAGCAGAAACAATCAGAACAGTCTAAAATAAAGGAAAAATGTTAATTTTTTGCGCAGAGATAGGTGTTTCTGCAGCTCAGAATTGAGGCCATAGAGTAACAAGCAATCCTTCATACAGTATTTACGGTTTACTTCTGCAAATAAATGAGGTAACAAATAAAGTCAAAGTGATAGTTGAAGTCTGGGGTGAACGTCAGAAAAAACGTTTTCTCAGCTTTGAGTAAGGGCAGTAGTGCAACGTTTTGGTGAAAGGTGCTAAAAAAATTACCACCCTGAGGAGGAAGGGACGACGTTCCATTCTGCTCTCACGCTATCGATCTGTTGAATCAGCGTTTGTTAGCATAGTGTGTACATAGGGTCGTTGTCCAGCAATGTCACGTCAAAGGTGGGTGATCGCCTCAGTTTTTTGGATTTTTTGCTTGCAGCTTGCAGACTATTTGGCTTGAGCAGAAAAGTTCAATGCAATCATAACAAAAATTTCGTATCGACAAACAGCCTGTCATTATTGTAAAGTAATGTGGGACGAAGAGTAGAAATTTGAGTTGTTACCTGAGGACTTCTAATTCGTGCATTCAGAATGAAAATTTCATAGATTGAAGATCTTATGAACTCTTCCGCATTCTGGAGTTTTTTTTGGAATTGCTGGAGAGAGCACGTTCATAGGAGGTATTCTACGCCCTTGCGTTTATATTTGTATCTCAATCATATATTTTTATGTAATGGGATACCAAAGAACACAGAAATTGTTGGCTTAAGTTTGAAAATGCCGTCATCATACAAAACAAAGGCCCTCTCTCTCCTAATTGTAAGGCCACTGAGACTAAAGGGAATGGCTGATGCTGTAAAGCTAGAAGAAGCATGGAAACACTTTGTTCCCAACACTTTTGTTGGTCTCTCTGAACCAAGCAAATGCGAGCTTACTCATACTGCCACTGGCATTTCTCCTGCTCTTCCTTTGAATGCGATTCATACCAAAGTTTTTCTTACTATTCATTAGAATCTCTATATTTTGAAAGATCAGAAGCTGTTGCGGTAGATAAAAATTCTTGTTGATTCATAGTGAGCATCAACTTGACACATTCTTCAATGCTATTTATCTCCCAATCTTTTTCCCATGCGTCTCCCTACGGTTTTTTATAATCTATAATATGGATTTTTGTCAGTCCATCTCTTCGTATGATTTTGCTGCAGACACTGTCAACATTTTTTTGCGATACAATATTTTCTCACATGTTCTATACAGTGAAGTCTTCCTATAAGTTTTGCACACTTTCTTGTGTTACTGACACTATCCACGTAGCAGTGGTAGTCGTAGTACTTTTCATGGGGGAGAGGGGGGGGGGGTCAAAGTTTTGCTAATCGAAGGGATAAATGGACAATGAAGTGAGATCTGTTTTCTCGTAAAGGCCCGAGTGCACCTTATTCCCCAAAATAGGTCGCAAAATTTTTGAAATTTACTTACATGGGTTATAAAAAAGGCAAGTGACTTGTTTGTTCTTCTAAATAATTGAAACAAATTTCAAAATTTTTTTGAAATTCAAATTAGCCTTGTATTGCTACCGCCACGCCCCCTGTTTCTATATTCTAGCGGTTATGGGCCCGCAAAAATTGAGAAGCACCCAAAAAATTTTTCGGAGTGCGTGGCTCACGCCACGCATCTTCACTTGAAAGAAATTCTTTCCGCGCCTCTCCCCCTCTCCCCCTCCCTGGACTGAAATCATGGGACTGCCACTGATACGAGCCTAGGTTACTTTTCAAGAATCATTAAATTGTTTCTGCAAATAAACAGTCTCTGCATATTTTTTCACTGAACAAACAAAAGCCTTCCTGGTCCATTTTCTTCCATCATTCCTATAAAGATATGATTTTCATGTGACGTAAAGCACATCGCGGTTTTTGCAGTGAAACAACATCCTGATCAGTACTCTGCTATTTGCAGAATTCATCTGATTGTAAACTTTTTGCGTTACAGGATGACGGTTCAACGTACAGGTGGAAATGGTGCAAAAGTCGCGCTAATGATCTACACAATTTTGTTTTGGGTGAGCGCTGGAATTTTTGAAGATTTCTGTAGTCATAACTCTGGTTGGCTAGCAATCACGAAATCATTGGAACGGTTGCTGATTTTTTTTCAGACCTCCGGCCTAGCGCTTATCTTCATTGGCTTATGGATGTTATTGGATCCAAAGAGGAACTATATTCTTACCCTGGTTGATTTCTCCGAGGACGATCCGCTGTTGGTGAGTTCTAGACTGTAATGTGCAAACCTGCAGACCAGAAAAATCCAAAACTGTTATTACAAAAGTGCAATTGCAGTTGTGCTCACTTTTAATACAAAGTAAAAGGAAATTCAAATTCCCTCTTTCCGATGATTTCGAGGTTCGTTCTTGAACCCAATCTCAGTAGGTGTTGAATGGTGAAAAGCAGTAATCAGAAAGAGGTTGTATGAATAAATACTAAAACTCTTTCAGAGAAAATCGCGAGGGGCCAAGGTCACTAGCTTCTATGATTTTTAACACGAAAACATTTAACATCTCGAACTCGGCTGCATATCTAAAAGACTTTTATATGGACAAGTAAATGCTTTTTGAAAACCTTCCTCAAAATCTCAGTGTCATCCTCTCCATCTATAAATTATTACAGTTTGGTGGCTGTAGTGAGTCTGTGTTGAGCTCTGAATATCTTTCTTGAGAAAAAAAGTATAAATTTGAAGTTTGAAAAGAGAATTCAACCGCCAAGTAAACGTAAACATTTATTGACTTGCCTACGAAGAGTGGATAAGATGTTCACATCAAAAAAGGTTGCGCTTTTCCCAAGGGGCTTTCCGTTTGTTGATCTGAGAAAGGTTATCTGCCCTAGTCAATCGCGTCACATTTATAATAAGGTTAGTAGAGTTCGTCTCAACCATGCTTAGAAAACTGAACAGGGTTTGGCACAGGTGGCTTACAAGCAAGCTGGATATCGTTTTTGGGACAAAAAGTAAAGGAGATATCGTTTTGCCGTCTGAAAAAATACGTGCTAGGTAGGTTGTTTTTTCAGACAATTCACCGAAAATTTCGCAAAACGTTTGGGAAAGTTCCGTCGGGTCATCTGCAGAAGTTCCGTAAGCGTGCTCAGAAGCTTGCAATGAGATGGATGTCACAACATCAAAAGAGAACATGTTAGCGAGATTCGAACCTTGCTTTATCGATGCGAGACTCACTATCCTCTGCACTACGAATGACATTCAAAAAACACATTCAAAAACCTGCAGAAGTATTGACAGATCAAAGCGATGTGCAGCGTTTTGTAACAAGTCCTGCGGAAGCTCCCGTTTTCAACCAGTCTGACCTGAAAATCCGCGGAAGCGTCATTTTCAACGTTTCCACTTTTCAATGATAAACAAAATCCTGCAGAACCGCTGCAAATTTTGCTTGTATGGTCAAATCTTGCGGAATCTATTATATGGAATTATTATATGGAATTATTTGGGCTTTTTTAGTCGACGTTTCCGGTTTTGGGTCAAAGGGACTCCGTAAAACTTTGCAAGAGTCAGAGGAGACTTCGGTTTTTGCCTATTCGGAAAGTCACCTCGCACCAAGACTGCTCGTGGAGGATGCACACAACTGTTGATTTATCAAACAGTTGATCATATCGACAATTTCTGTCATCTGTAAAGCAGTTATGGGTGGATGAAATAAAAATGACAGTGTCTAAAGATACTTCTGTTGAATAGCTTGGAATCTGTGATTTTTGTTTGGATAACTTGAATTCTGCAGTTTGCAGAAAATTTTCTTAAAGCTAATATCTTTTGATCGAGGTGGCATTCAAAACGTCCCTTTTTTAAGTAAGGTATTTTATAATTTAGACATTCGCCTCCTACATCGCGATTGTTGCGGGTGTGGTATCATTGTTCGTAGGCTTTATCGGATGCTGTGGTGCAGTGCAACGAATGAGATGTTTGTTAGTTGGGGTAAGGACATTTAGCTTTCAGTGACATTATTCCCTTTCTAAAAAATTTTTGCGCCATAACGAAGGTTTTCAAAAATATCAGAAATCATAATTGTTTCTGAAAATATGACGAAAAAATGTGGAATTTTTTGAAGCCATTATGGATGTGATTTTAGTTTATCTTATGCCTCTTGGCTCTGTTTCTTGCTGACGTGGGTATGGGAACACTAGCACTAGTCTATCGAAACAAGGTAAGCAAATTGTTCAATGAATATGTACTAATTCTATGTTGCTGTGGAATAAGGTCTATGTTCCAAGTTTTGCTAATCTTGCATATTCTAACTCTAGTTTGCAAACGGTCGACTCAGAGTTTATGTGCAGAATATGACAAAGAATCGCTATAATCGTGACAAATGGGTGCAACCGTTGCTTGACACAGTGCAGTTCTATGTGAGTTTTGCTAATCAGCCTTTTTAACTGTTCGACATGACGTCATCAGAGTGTGCAGCCTAATTCTTCACGTTGACTGCCTCATGTCTCTGTCTTTCACCTGAAAGCATGACGTAAAACACGACTATACTATCTAAGTACAACAGATATAAACGCTAGAATTTCTGCTCCATATATGAGTGAAAATACTCAATTACAGGTTTTTATACTTGTCAAACCATAGGTCATTTTCAAAATTGTGACGACGGTTTGACTGCGGTCTTTGCGCCCACAGCAGCATAAAATGCTCATACAAGATGGCATCACCTCCACGCTCACCTCAGTTAACTCCGGTGTCTAAATATTATCATACGTAAGCAGAAAACCATTTAGGTAGAGACCAAATTTGAATGCGGTTGCCGAGAACGCGTGCGTATCGCGCGCTGTTGCGCCATCGTCACGATTTTTCGAAAGCTCTGTACATGCATGGCAATAATCTAGACGCTAAAGTAGATAAAACGGCCTTTGTTCATGTTCTTTAAGCAAGAAATATCACTTTTGCAAGCTCACCTTTCTACTACAAAGGGCAAAAGCACGCTTCGCTACGCGTAGTTACCTCCTTAAGGAGGTAGCGGGAAGACGACAGCTTTGCGAATTCGCAAAGTGTCGTCTTCCCGTATCTCGTAAGCTTAGACTGAAGGTAGCCTAATAATCGCATCATGGGATGTTCTGTACATCTCAATTACGTGATGGGCAATGGGGAGGAAAGAAGAAAGAATATTTGAATAGTTTGTGCAAAAAGTCTCACAAGCCTCAGCATGACAGTATTTTGATAAGTTTTTCGTCCTTCAAACATTGTTTTGGCAGGATGTCTGTAGGGTATACAGACATCGTGTAAGGCAGGATGCCTGTATGATCTTCAAAATGATGCGTTTTCTTATTCTGAGGAACCTTAGATGCTATGCTCCGTTCAACGATTGCACGGACTGGCCGTGTTTGCAGCGAACGCGACGCGCCGCTAAAATTTTGCGGTAGCACGACTAGTACGACTGCTATTCGCATGCGACAAGCGACTCATCGCGCGTCGCGGTCTGTTCATTTGATAAATGGAGGATACTTCCCAATAACGCACGCAAAGGAATGATGCGTTTGATCCCGCGCTCTTGGACTTTCAAAGTATAGTCAGAAGAGCTATGAGCCACCTCTTTGAAGAAAATTCTTTACCCCGGCTCAGGCTTACTTCCTTACTTCGTGGCACAAAAGAAGAGTTTACTGGTTAACGTTGCGATCTTGGAACCTCAGGGCACCATAATTTGTCAAACGGCATGTAATCCACTCCATTCTGTCTGTCTACATATACTACTTTGGTTGGCAGATTTGCTTTGCAAACTTACCTTCTGTGAATGTCTAATCATATTTCGTAAGGTGTTTTCGTAGAATTTTCATTGTCAGTTTTCTTCTGTGCCTGCCTCAATTCAATAATCATCGGAATTGTCTTTTTATAACCCAAGCATCATGTCCTTAGTCACTAACACTAATATTCGTAGCACAGGTGCGATAAGGTGAGAATGACTCCTCCAGGGTGAAAGGGGTCACAGTGATCGCAACCCCTCCAGGGTGAAGGGTGTTTTACTTGGTAAAGAAATCGTAAAATGTCGACGGTGGGGGGGGCATCATTTTTCTCAGTCAAAGTTCATAATTTCCAATTCCTTGCCATCACTGTTTGTCTTTTTTCTGAAATGTGAAGTGATACGCTGCTGGATTAGCATACAATTATATTTCTGATCAGCACCTTGTATTTTTTTACATTTCCTTTTTTCTTTTTTACATCGTCCTGCCTGGTTTTGGAATTACCATAGTTGATGTGCATGCGAACATTTGTTTCGGAAAGAGTTAGACAATTTTTAAGCATTTACGATTTTTTTTTCAAAGAAGAAATTCGTAATTTGTGTAGATGAACAGCAATGTCAGCAAGGTGAATATTTTTGAAACCATCTTGTCTTTCGCTTTTAGAGAATATATAGTTTGCTGAGAGTCTGTTGAAAAAGTGCCTGGTGAAGAGTGTGGGTAGTGATTTCTGGATATTTTCGAGTTTTTGGGATAGAAAAATCCGTAACTTCTGAAGATGAACATAATTCACGCCTTTATGACAACCATTGAAACCGCCTCGCTTTCTGTTTCCAGAAAATGTATGCATTGCCTGGTGTCCCTCAAAAAAAAAGTGCCTGAGTGAAGGGTGTCCTAGTGATTCCTGAAGATTTTCGAGTTTTTAACATAAAAAATTCATAACTTTTTCAGATGAACATCTTTCACGGCGAGATGGTCACCATCAGAACCGCCTCGTTCTCCGCTCTCAGAAAATATACAGCATGTTTGAGATCCGTTCAAAAAAGTGCGTGGTGCAGGATGTGCCTAGTGATTTTTGGGAATTTTCGAGTTTTCAGGATAAAAAATCCGTGACTACTGCAGCTGAACAGCTGATGCAAGGAAATAGTAACCATCGGAACCGCCTCATCCTCCGCTTTCAAAAAAATATATAGCATGTGCCTGGGTGAAGGGTGTGCTCAGTGATTTTTAAAGATACTCGATTTTTTATCATAAAAAAATTCATAACTTTTTTAGATGAACATCTTGTACGCCGGGATGGTCAACTTTGGAACCGTCTCGTCCTCTGCTTTCAGAAAATATATACTTTGCTTGGGGTCCATTAGAAAAAGTGCCAGGTGAAGGGTGGGTGAGACTTTTATAATAGGAATTATAATGTGCTCATTATATAACTCCCATTATAAAAGTCTCACCCACCCTTCACCCGGCACTTTTTCTACGAACTCCAGGCAAAGTTTATATTTTCTGAAAGCGGAGGACAAGAAGGTTCCAATGCTGACTATCTCGGCGTACAAGATGTTCATCTAAAAAAGTTATGACTTTTTTTATGATGAAAAATCGCGTATCTTTGAAAATCACTGAGCACACCCTTCACCCAGGCACTTTTTTGAATGGATCTCAGACATGCCATATATTTTTTGAAAGCGGAGGGGACGAAGCGGTTCCGATGGTTACTATTTCCTTGCATCAGCTGTTCAACTGCAGTAGTCACGGATTTTTTATCCTGAAAACTCGAAAATTCCCAAAAATCACTAGGCACATCCTGCACCACGCACTTTTTTGAACGGATCTTAAACTTGCTCTATATTTTCTGAGAGCGGAGAAACAGGCGGTTCTAACGGTGACCATCTCGCCGTAAAAGATGTTCATCTACAAAAGTTATGAATTTTTTATGATAAAAAATCGGGTATCTTTAAAAATCACTACTCACACCATTCACCAAGCACTTTTTTCAACAGACTCCTCCTTTCCTATACACTGACAATTCACGTACAAATATCTCCTTTGCTTAACCTTACCTCACTGTTGATTTTTTTCTCGGCTTTTGATAAAGGGGTCACCCTGTTCCCCGCTCAGGGGTGAAGAGGGGGTGAGAAAAGTCTCACACTATCGCACCTGTGATTCGTAGTAGGCAAGCGCTGCGTATGAGAATCAAAGTTTCAGCTGACATCTCCACAATCAAACTTAGAGGAAAATTTGAGGAATATTATCAAATTCTCTTATGGTGTATCCATGGAGATTGAAGATAGTCGACGTATCACGGTGCTGATTGATAAGCTGCAGTTTTATGTGAGTTCTCCCTCAAAGGCGACCGTACGGAGCTCCTATTTGAATTGTCAAAGTAAAAGCTTCTGATCTCAAAAAACGAATTAATGAGAATATGGTGTAAATCAGTTGTCGTAGGAGGAATGCTGTGGTGCAACCACGGGAGATGACTACTTAGCCAGCCGTTGGATGGCGCTGGTATCTACTGATCCAGCCTTTGAAAACGAAGACCCCCCATTGGTGCCGCTGTCATGCTGCCGCCAAATCCATGGAGCTTCTGCGCTCAACCCGGTAGCGAGAAGTTTAGCCCGTTGCCAGCAAAGCAATCCAAATCGCAATTGGCGACACATTGCGGTAAGTCTAAAAGGGCAAATTCGCTTTGAAAACAAGGTTGTTGGAAATTTGGCTGGAAGACAACACGATAGTTAAAGTTACGTGTGCCAGGATTGGAGATAATCAGGCGCAGGTTCAAAAGTTGCAGAATTCTTTACCTGGTACTTGTTTGCCACAAAATCCATGAACAGAACATTATGGAATCTTCTATGGTCTGCAGTAGCTAACAGCGCTCAAATAATGTCCGTGTCTTTCTAGCTAACAAAATCTAATCAAATACTCTTCTGTTTTCAGATAACATAAGCAAAATAAAAATATTAATAGCCCAACAGCGATATGTTGGAAACTTATAAATAATCTTAGCTAACTAATTCTAGAACGCTGCGACTTTGAGATTATGTTTTATGGAACACATTTGTGCGACTTGGGCTTTCATCGAATCCAGTCAGGGTTTATCAAGGTGACGGAGAGAACGAAGAATTGTAAGGGTGGTGCGGAAATAGAATTGTAAGGAGTACCGCTCTCGAATTGCGTCATCGCAATCATGCAGCATGCTTGCGTCGAAGACTAGCTTATATGACCATTGTCCTAGTGCAGTTTCTTCATACTTCTGCAGCTTGCTCGTGCAAATGACGTCATACCGACCGGGATTTTGCTTATCTATGTATGTACTTGTTCGTCTTGCGTCATCTATGTTGTTCCAGCAGCAATGTTGCGGTGGCGAAGGACCACGAGACTACTACAATTCATTTTGGTTCATTACTAACACCTACCGAGGCACACGGTCATTTGTGCCACCATCATGCTGTCGTCAGTCACAACAGGGGAGAGCCTGGGCACCAGTTCCAATCGACCCAATGTGTACTACATATAGATATGATTCGAAAGCTTTCGAAAGTTCTGTCTATAATGAAGTAAGTGCGTTTTATATGCAAAACTGAATGGCATACAGTCTGCTCCAGTTACTAGTAAATTGATTGTATTCTCAATTGTCTTTCCAGCGATACACAAGACCTTACATCATGTAAGACACCTGTTATTAGCGTCACTTCCATTCGTCTCGAGTATAGCAAACTACATGTAAACTTTGCTGGCTACATTTTCGAAGCAATCCTAATCTAGAGTAAAAATTGTCCTCAGATTATTCAGTAACGGTAAGTTATAAAACATATGGACATCTAGGGTTTTGCTATTGTGGTGTGCATTTGCGAAGCCGCACAAAAATCCTTACACCATTTCTCTCTACCCGTGACTGAGTATACCTGACTCACCCTCCTTCGATAATAGTCCGTATGGAAACAGAACATAGCATGTTCAAATCTTCTGTTCATCATAGCACCACGAAAGAGTTGTCTTTGTCAGGGCTGTCACGAAAAGCTGTTACAATGGGTGGACGAGCAAACGTGGATTTTTGCTGGAGTTGGATTTGGTTTCGCTGCGCTGATGGTGGGTCTCTTTACAATTTTTTCGTAGAGTTAATATGACATTTTAACATGAAACTAGATACTTTCATGACTTTTGTAAGAACCAGAAAGGAAATCTAGTTAATTAATCTCAATCTCTCTTTAAGTGACTCTTAACTTTGAAGATTGTTCATTCGAATGTCATGGACATAACTGACCCATTTCAGGTCGTTGGAATGGTAATATCACTGATCCTGTGCAATAGCGTCAAGTACTATACGTTTGTTCGCGATGATTACTAGTCGACTACAAATCAAGCTTTCTCAGTGTCTTTCATCAAAACGTGTTGCGATCTCAGACTGTATTTACATTTCGGTGCTATATAGTAATCTTGTTTGCATATCTTTTTACGCTAAGACTGCTCAAGTACCCAACAATCTCGTTGTAAAGTTTGTGAAGTCATCAGGATGAGAGGAAGAGTTTTGACAAAGTTGACAAGCGTCAATTTTTTTACTGTTCAGGAAGGCTTGGAAAATAATCAAAGTCTACTCAGTCCCTCATCTAGCAGTCTGCTTAAATTCTCTCTTACCATCCTAGAAGACTGATGATCTTTATTCGTGCTCTCTTGGATCTTGAGTGTTACTGCAATTTCGATAGCGCTCATTGCAAAGTTAGAGTCTTCTTCCATCAGCTTTCGATGTTGTTAAAGCAAATCTTGTTTATGTACGCCATTCCTGAGTCGTCTGCAGCTATGAATCTGCGTTCTTCTTCGCGTACATAATGTAATACTATACATGTACATGTTGCACTGCATTCATTCATATTCGAGTCTCGCAGTTGAATTCATGGCATCAAATCAAGCTTCCTTACTGTGCAGTCAAAGCGGACATTGAACAAATATGTCCTACCAGAGTCAAAGAGCGACTCGTCTTGTTAGATCAGAAGTACTCTCTAAGATTTTTGCGAATGCCGTTTTTTTCGTAAATTATGATTTCACGCTTTTTAACTCCTCCTGTCGATAGGTGCTGTCTGATGGATTAACCATTGACACCAGCTAGACGACTACAAGGCTCATGGACGAAACATAAGTTGAGCTAGAGAAACACTCTTGTTCCAAATCACCCCCTTTGACCAAAGGCCGCTACAGATCCCCTTTAGTACTGGAGCGCGCATGCCTCGATGTTATATTACTGTGAGCTCTAGCTTGTTGGAAATTGCTGCTCTCGTTGCTGTTCAATTCACTGCACTGCGTAAGACTGATACTGCTACCCGCTCCCCCAATAAAAGTCAGCAGTATGAACTACGCAAGAAGAAATCTTTGCCGCGGTTCTGTCCGAACACTGCGTTCGGGGCTGGGCAAGATCGAAGCTTGCAATTGTCAATTGCACTGCAGACCAATCAGAATACCCATGCCTGCAGCAACAAATAATATCATCAAGTGGTATCACACCGCTTAATCTTCAGGGAAGAAGGAAATCAAGGATTGATTTTCTTTTCGCTTACGTGCTTGGGGGAACATTATGTGAGTTTCAGCCTTATAAGGAGGATACCGCACGCAGAGAGTGGTTAGTGCTGAAAATCCATATGTGACGATTTTTTCTGGAAACTGAAGGAACTAATGAAGAGTTCTCATATGAACACCGCTTAACGACGAAGCAAAAAGACCTACTCACAAAAAACTCTCAGCACTGTACATGTTCTGCCATTTTTGAAGGCGTTGAACCTTTTTTGTTTTTGACAAAGTCACATTCAAGGATTTTATTGCTTCCTTCCATCTCAGGCTCAAGGCGTACCTCCAGAGATCAAATCGCTGAAACTCCGCGACTTGGCATTTTGCATATCTTTAAAGTATCTTCTGCAGCTCTTGTATGCAGGGACTCATAGCTTTTGTATATTGTCACGACAGCACTAAGTTTCGTCCCACCAAAGCGCTTTTACGCCCGTTGTTTAGAGAGTCGTTGCGTGCAGTATCGTGCAGCAATGGTTTGAAGCCCACAAAATTATGACTCAAATATCTTTCTGAGCGTTTTAGAGGCGCGCGCGCAGCGTGTGTGGACACATGGGAAATCGGCTGAGAAGGCACCAAACGAAATCAATTTGAGCGACTTTTGGATAAAAGTCAATGCGTAGTTTTCGCGAATCTCCATCTAATATCTATATGTCGCTACAGTATAAAGTTGCTTTGCGTCACTATGTCATGATTCCTGTGTGAAGTTTGACTAGTGGCCTTAGAAAAACAAGTAGCTTTAAAATGCAAAGAGATGACTGATGAGATTCAAAAGCATGATGCAAGAAATGCAGAAATTGTCCGACGTAGAAACTGGCCAAGCTAAAAAATAAGGAAGTATGTGCAACCCTCTCTCTTTTTCTCTTGATAGGCAGCCGCCGAGTTATAGCTGCAGCAATTCCTACACTGGGTAGCAGGAGATTGCTAAAATACTTTTGCGTTGTTATCGTTGTTAGGAGATTTATAATATAGAAAATTAAAGGAAACTGGCCGCATTCAACTCTTTGACGACCATACAAACCACCAGTTGCCCACTTTTTGCAGCCAGATGGTGTAGACTACCAATGGCCATTTCTTGCAGAAGCAGATCTTCTCCTTTTATGCATCGTGGCAGTTGACGGAGGGGGGGGCTGTTGGAACAGTAAACGCCGACGTTTCAAGATGTCGACAGTTATTTGCAAAACAACAACGCATTTAGAGATCAAGTGAATAATTCAAGTTGTTTTTTCTTGCCAAGAGTCACAAAATGCGATTTCAAAGATTGATTGCACGCAGAGATCGGATGCCGTTTGTCTGAAAAGTCGGTGTTTGTGTGAGACAGCAGACGGTAGGTGGAATCATAATCTGGGGAGGCTGACAGTGTCCGCAGTGGCACCGTCTCTGCGTGTGATTTAATCGGCTGTATGCCCAGTATACTTTGGACCAAATGGAATGATTTATTCGATTATTCAAATAAATCATTCGAATGTGATTCAATTTGAATATTCTAAAAATTTCATTTTCGAATATTGTTCGAAAGTCGAATATTCGAAAATCTCAACTTTCAATAGTATTCGATAGTCGAATATTCGATCGTCATTTATTCGATCATTCGATTTTCCTCAAAAATTCAAATATTCGGTAAATCGAATATTTGTGTCCCAAGTGTTTCTACACACTGTTCGATCGCTAAGACCTCTCACGAAGTCTTCCGCCAACTTTTAAGTAACATCCTGAAGGGATGGCTTTGGCTTATAAATACAACAGAATGCTTCAGGACTACGGTTTGCTTTTTGTCTTAGGGCTTTAGGACTGACGACGGAATGCTTCAGGACTAAACAAGACATAATGCACAGTTGTAAACAGTACATGAAGCTGATCATGAAACCTGGGCACTGTTTGAATTCAAGAGACAAGTTGTAAGCCACGCAGGCTTGTTGAGTTCTTTATCTCGGTCTAACGTTTCCGCAAAAATGCCTTCCTCAGAAACCTGAAAGAAAGCCTCGCACTTGTTTTTTCACTCTGTACTGTCAAATCTCCCTTTTCAACTAGCTCAATTCGATGCCCTACGAGCAAACACGCTGAGACAATACATTGTTAGTAGCATACCAAGGTTTCTACCAATCAGTAATGCAGATATTTGAGATCCACTGGTGGTAATAGACTAGAATCAACCAATATGGACAGCTTAATTAGTAGTAGGCATGTTATCTATAAGTGACAATATGACAGAAATGGCATCAAGTCACTTGTGATCGAGAGCTGCTCATTCTTTCCGTTCAGCTTAGGTTCGCGCGAAAGAATGTATGCCGCTTCAAGGGCTTTGCGAGCAGCAATTTCTGACTCGTGACCTAAGATGATACACTTGATACTGAAGTCATTGCCATGACGATCTACCTTCCTGTGTTTCCCTAGCGAACTTGACATGTTTCCCGTCTTTTACTAAACAAGTGTTCATTAATTCGCACGCTGAGTTGACAACCAGTTTCCCCTATGTAGGTGGCGTGGCATTCTAGACATTCAATTTCGTAGATAATGCCGAACTTGGTACAGTCTCCCATCCTTCCGTAAGGACAAATGACGCAATCCCTCGTAATACAGGCTGTATCTTATAAACGATTCGCATTAGTTGTCGCTTGATGTTGCTTTGGAGGATGCTAGAACAACATCTTGCTCCATCTGAGCTTGTATTATGCAATTCTGGAAAGCGTGCTTTCCTTATCGGAGATAAACGCTAGACATAATGGGATTCTGGTACGAGCTTGACTGTCATCATTATTTGCGGTGTTTTTGAAATGTCTAGACCTTAATGAGAACTAGCCATTGGAAGCTGCTATCTCATTTGCCAGTTCGAGGGATTCTTGTCGTTCACTCTCCCCACTGCAGACCTCTCTTGCCGTTTTATACATGTTCCGCAGCACTGCTCGTTTTACGGCTATAGAATGAGTTGGTTTCGCATGTAAGATGATATTCTTGGAGCCTTTGCGGTACCATTTTACTCCATCGTACCGTTACTTAACATTAGCTGAGTGTTCAAGTACGAAAGCCAACCGTTTCGGCGAGCTTCTCTAGTAAAACTTGTGTACTGTGTTTATTGATTTGAAATCTTGAAACACTCATCCATTTCGGACTGTGTTGATGTTATAATTCAACAATCATCAATATATCGGCAGTACATAAGTGGGCATTGTAATAGCACCGGTCTTTCTGTTCTGCTCATGAAGCAGATGGCTAGCGTAGGTGTTAATCTTTGGCCCATTGCCAACCCTCTAAAGTGTTATGTACCAGACCACTTAGAGATATTACAGTTATAACATTCCTTGATTAGAGTCATTATACATTATACACGCTTTACTGAGCCCATACATCGAAATGGTATCCCTAAGTGCATCAAACAGCTCAGAAAGCGCTTGTAAAGCGTCACCGTTGGACACTTTCATGTAGAGTGACGTTACATCGAATGACTCTATTGCACAGCTCTGGTCGAATTGAGCATAATGCAGTCGATCAAGAAAATGTGTGGTATTCGTCAAATGGGCCGGCATTTTGTCGAGAAATTGGGTGACAGTTTTAATTAAGAACCACGATATCCTATCGGTTGGTCCATTTATACAGCTAATGATCGGTCGAATCGTGTAAACCGAGGCCACATGGAGCTCATGTCACGCTTAGAGAGCTTATGCGTCTTCATAAGGCTGTAAAGTAGCAGGACAGCATGGATTGTCAAGTTTAAGTCTGTTGAGAAACTTTCGTTAAGGCCAGCTTCTTTACCAATCAATAATACAGTACATAAGTTTTATGGAGAAGCTCCTCGAA